ACCCTAACCCTAACCCTAACCCTAACCCTAACCCTAACCCTAACCCTAACCCTAACCCTAACCCTAACCCTAACCCTAACCCTAACCCTAACCCAAACCCTAACCCTAACCCTAACCCTAACCGTTGTCAAAGCATGTCACCTTGACTGAGACCGGTGACTTAACGCAACCGTCGTTTTTCTCAGTTGACCTTGTCACCTTGACTGACTAAACTGGACCGTCGGCTTCGATTAGAGATGTACTAAGCATTTTCCTACTGCGAAGAGAAATTACGTTTTTTTCGAGCAGGTAACTGAATCCAACATATCCTCCTCGACGCCACGATTTTTCCAATCAGAATGATATGTTTGACAACTATACAACGTATCTTGTAAGAATCTGGCATTCAAGCGTCAATATCTTCGCTCACGATGGAGCTAGTATCTTAAAGTTTTGCCGGCCCTCCCTTTTCGGGTTCTCTAGGTCCAGTCCGATTTTCGTCAATTCCCGTCACCCTACTTTTTTGCCGGTGATACCATGGTACCTCTTGATACCATGGCCCCTCCCCCGACCCGGCGATCCCTACCGCTTATGGTCTAGTCTTGCCCAAAACAGAGGTTTTATGCCATAAACCCTCCATGTACTAGTAATAGGCTGTGGGTGTGGCCGTGCCCTTTCGGCTTCAGCCTGAAACCGTCGATGTACTAGGAATAGGGTGGTTACAAGTAAACCCGTGAGACCATTCAACTAAGTAGGTGTATCAAAAACATGATCTCGTGTGCACTGCCAAACAACTATTCCTCTATCCTAAAGCCTGGCGGCCCTCGTACGACCAACCCGCGTCTTCCTCCTGATCTCCTCGACCTCCTCCTTCTCCAACCAAAACTTATCGCTCGTCTCGCTCCAGAGCAGCAAAGTTTCTGCCTTTCTCACGTTATACTCCGCCAACAACTCCTCCTGACTCTTCGTTGTCTCCACTCCATGGCCTTTTGCTTCCGCCTCCCTCCTCTTCTTCAGCCCTTCTGCCAAGTCCCGGAGGTTGAGGGGGTCGACGGTTGCGGCGATTTCGGCGCCTTGACCCGTACATAGTGTTGATGATCCTGCGGCATCACCTAGGAGGACGAGGTTGGAGCCGTAGGTGAATGTACGGGCAGAACAAACTTCGACGACGAATGGTTTCGTCGGACTTCCCCACACGATCGGCATCTCCTCGAGCGACTTGTACTCCGAACAGAGGATCTCGTTGGCTTTGCCGAGGACGTAGTGTCCGATTGAGCATTCGTCGGTCGGCTCGATAACACGAGGAATCTGGAGACCGAAAATAATGGATCCTTGATGCGCGAAATGTGCGGACTCGACTTGTCGCTCCAACACGCCGCTCTCCCCATCGCGACGGGGAAGGAGACGGAGACGAACGGTGCCGGAGGGTGGAGTCTGACTCTTGACTTCGAACGTGATGAAAAACTGACGTTCCAGGGGCCCGGGGTGGGAGGGGAGGAGAAGGTTGGGTTGATCGAGGGTGGGGAGGGAGGAGGCAGTTAGGCGGTGGTGGCGGAGGTAGGTTATGCCGATATCGTGGAGGGCTTCTGGGTCGCGTTTGCCGGATGCGATGACGATCAAGTCTGGAAAGCCGAGGTCGAAGTTGGTGCCGTCTCCGTTGCGGGACAAGGTAGCACGGAAGCGGTCGGTGGTGCGAGTGAGACGGACGGTTGATTCGCGGAGGATGATGACGCCTTGTTGGTGGGCGACTTTGAGGAGTGCGTGTTCGAGGTCGGCGATTCGGACGGTGTGAGTACTGTGCTGCATTCCCAGATCCCTCACAACGGGAACGTCGTACCCCTCCTGCCTCCAGTCCACAAACGGCGGCCTCATGCTCTCGACCGTGATCTCCCCCTCACTCCCCTCAACCGGGACCGGGAACTCCGCCTCCATGTCCATAATCCTCTCGATCTTCCCTTCCTCCTCCAAGATCTTCAAAGCTCCGAGCAGGGACAACTGACGAAGCGTTTCGGGTCGGAGAACGACGAAGTTTGTGCGGAAGTGGGTGGGGCGTTTGTCGATGAGGAGGGTAAGGTAGCCGAGACGGGCAAGGGTGATGGAGGCTGCGAGGCCACCAGGGCCGGCGCCTTTTATGAGGGCTGTTGGGAGGTGGAGAGAGTGGCGGGAGTGAGAAGAGGTGGTGGGGGTATTGTTGAGCGGCCACGGGGTGGAAAGGCCGGTGATGTTTGTGGTCGTGGTGGATGGAACAGACGTGGGAGTAAGTTGGTGCGTCAGTGGACCCATTGTTCAATGTTTGGCGGACGAGTGAGTTGGGTTGTAGTGGGAGAACCATTGAGGATCCGTATTGTACTCTTATATATGTTTTTGACCTGGGTGGTAACGTAGATCGAGTCATTGTCAATGGACTTTTGTCATTGAACAGGATCCCGCCGGCGCCGGGTCCGACGGTGAAAAAGAGCGGGGACGCGAACTTGGATGTCATACAAGCTTCCGCTGTCACACTGAATGTCCGCGCCGCACATCGTCAGCCCTCAACAGGAAGAGGAACTGATGGTGTAACGCGTAGCTGTCAGCGTCGGAGGTCGGAAGGTGTGTAGCATCAAAATGGTAACCTTAACGGAACGTTCACGTGCACCGCACGGGTGATCATCGGGCCGAGTGCGAGGTAATCGACGTGTGACGGGGCATCCCTTTACCTGGTCCTCGTCATGTAGCATACTGAGCACGGCGATGTACACAATCCGGCAATGTGCAGGCAACACGATTATCTAGGCAAGGCGTCGTAAAGAGTTCCCACGGCGTCCTCGTCGACTACACGTTCGCAAGCGACGTTTTGCGTGTGTCCGGACAGCTGTGTACGCCACCTCAAAACGTCGGAGACTGGCACCCAGGCCTACGCGAACTACAGAGATTCTCTGCTGAACCCGTGTCTTGCGCCGCGCACACGCTCACTCATGTTGACAGACTGCGGGAAGGTCATGGAAGGAGCGGATAGGTCTGCCTCTTACAGTCGTACGTTACGGGTTCTCATTGCACAAATTGTCAACTTGAGAGACCACAGACCTCACGCGGACCGAGCTAGGCCTTGTGCTTCGTCGTTGCTCATCGGGCTTCTCGGTGCCGTCTTGCTGGACTCGAGCTCTCCAAGTCTATCGTGACTGACAATTCTGATCAGGGGCAAGAAAGATCGTGGATTGTCTGAACGTTACGCACGTACGTGATGCGTTGTTTACGATATGGCGACGACCGTGCGGTCCGGATATTTGTGCCATGTTGCGCATTACACAACTGCATACGCCATTGCGCGGTAAAGCGGTGTGATATTTTCTGGCGACATGCGACATGCGCCAGGCTCCCTAAGCTCCAAGGGAGCGCAACCACTAAGATAGCAACCAACAGACTATTGTAAGATGAACCGGGGTGGGTTCTGGTTGCCATGGTACAAGAAGACTCAGGCGCGCTCTCGCAAGAAATACAGTAGTCACTGCTTTGTCCTCGGAAACGGGTAAAGATTCAAGAATCGTGGGAATGATCCAGTGGTAGAGGTCTCACGCTCAAACACGTTACACAATATCTATATTACTCTGGTCTGTCTTCGCTGTCATGAGTTGCGACGCTTGAGGTTGCAGTTCCATATGTATTATCAGTTTGTCCAACAATGCACAACACTTGTCATGGATATACCGGATCCCTACCACGCGACCTCATCCTTCGCAACACCCTCCGTAACCTCCTCCACGCCCATCTGCTCCATCCTCACCCATCCCTCAACCTCACTCAAATCCCTCACCCTCCCAGCTCCCCCATACCTTCCCTGCGCTTCTCCCTCCCCCCCTCTCCCCTCCCCAACCGTCTCCGGCCTCCACCTCCACCTCTCCTCCATCTCCCTCTCCAACACTCCCTCGAGCGAGTCAGCGATATACGACCCGATCGAAGGAAGATGCTTGAACCCGTGTCCCGAGTCTCCGGTCGCGAGTTGGAGGCGTGGGTGTGTGGGGTGTGGGGTGATGAGGAATGCGCGGTCGGGGGTGTCTGTGCACCAGCAGATTCGGGCGTGGGTGAAGGGGCGGGACGACCATTCTGGTACTGTTTCGGCGAGGAGGTCTCGGATTGCCGCCTCGCACTCGAGGGGGATTGAGTAGCGGTGAAATGGGACGCTCTGCTGCTGCTGCTGCTGCTGCGGCTCCGGCTCCGACGACGACGACGACGACGACGACGACCGGGGGGTAGAGGTGGTGATGTAGGATGTGTACCCGGGATGCTCGTTACACACTTTAACCTCCCCCCGCACCGCATCCGGCTCAAAAAAGAATCCCTTGACAACGTGCAACAACACCGGCGCATCCCGAAATCTCGCGCGTTCGGATTCGGTGAGTCGAATATGTGCCAGCGTCCAACATTTCGCCAATAATTGGTTGTGGAAGGGGAAGAGTGTCGATGACCAGGCGCCTGCGGCGAGGATTGTACGGGTGGCGAGGTATTCCGTACCATCGCTGGATTTTGCACCGAGGATGTCTGGGAGGGAGGGGGAGGAAGAGGGGGAGTAGATGAGGTATGTGACGGTGCCGGCGGGGCCAGAGACGAATGTCACGCCGAGCTCTTTGCAGGCTTTGACGCAGGAGCGGAGGGCGTCAGCGGCGTGGACCCACCCGCACCCCTCTTTTTGGTAGGACCCTTTCCAACCGTTCATCTCCCCTGACAAGACCGGGATGATGGCGCGGAACTCGTCTCTGCCGTTGACTTCGATCCCGCGGTTCGGGAGACCGTCCAGCTCCTCCTCGAGTGCTGCCATGTTGGAGTCATCTGCGGCAAAGAGGATTCCGGTTTCGTGGAATGCATCTCGGAATACCGGATCTGTTCGCCATCCTTCCAATGCCTTCTTGGCCAACTTTTCCGTAAATTTGTCTTTGTAGACGGATTGTACGACTTTGTTGATGTCGCTACCGGCGGAGAGGGGGGAGGGGGGTGGATGGGGATCGAGGACTGTGATGGACGTGTAGTTGCGGCGGGCGAGGTGGAGGGCTGTTGAGAGGCCAAAGGTGCCGGCGCCGATGATGAGGATTGGGGAGGAGAGTGTGAGGGGGGGTGGAGGTGGAGGTAGTGTTGAAGACATGTTTGCGATTGTACGGTGCGACAGTACGGGTGCTTTCTTGATGACGGACGGGACTTATGACTATTGTATCGGGAGGATGGACCTATACTTGACTCGTCGGCAAACCTAATATCCTACTTGACTCTCGGTACGTTCTCGGCAAGTCAGAAATTAAAGTTTGGCGTCGGATGGACCTTCGCGCGAGATGAGTTGGCTTGTGACGCGGATGGACCTTACAATGATCTTGTCGCGATGGAAGGGAAATCTTATCAGCTGAACGATAACGATAGATAGATAGCTACTTAAACTCCTCGTCTTACCTATCGCTCCCTAATACTTGACTCGTCCACAATTGCAATGGCAGGCGAGCAAGTCATCGAAGGCCAAGCCATCGAACTCTCCCCCGTCGCCTCCACATCCTCCACCCACCGCGACCGCGACCGCGACCGGAAACTCAAGGGCGCTGGCATGGGCCGTGACGACAAACACATCTACGAAGTCCGAGGTGAATCACCAGCAGACGACCCCGAACGCCAATTCCAAGGGAAATACATCAACGCTACCGAAGATGCCACTGCCGTTCTTCCAGACTCCGCAGACGATTCCCCATACCCGGAAGTCAGAGCCGTGGTCCCACCGACCGATGACCCGACCCTCCCCGTCAACACCTTTCGCGCTTGGTTCCTCGGAATCATCGCCGTTGTCATCGGAGCAGGCGTGAACCAGTTCTTCTCGATGCGATACCCCTCCGTCACCATAACCTCCCTCGTCGTCCAACTCCTCGCATACCCACTCGGGAACGCACTCGCCCACATCCTCCCACTCGTCACATTCGATCTCGGACCGAACCTCGGCGGCCGCTGGACCCTCAACCCAGACCGAAAGTTCAATATCAAGGAGCATACGTTGGTGACGATCATGTCAAACATCTCCTACACGGCCGCGTGGGCAACAGACATCATTCAGGCACAAGTCGCCTTTTATAACCAACCTGCGCCGTATGGGTATCAGATCTTGCTCGTGCTTACTTGTCAGCTGTTTGGGTTGGGTGTCGCGGGGTTGGTCAGTGATGTGCTGGTCAAGCCGGCGTCGATGGTGTGGCCGTCGACGTTGGCGAATGTCGCCTTGTTCCAGACGTTACACGATCGCTCCAACACAATCGCGAATGGGTGGCGGATTACGAGGTTCAAGTACTTTCTCATCGTATTCGCCGCGTCCTTTGTATGGTACTGGTTCCCCGGGTACTTGTTTACCGCGCTTTCGTACTTTACCTGGATTTGCTGGGCCGCCCCCAACAATGTCGTCGTCAACCAGCTCTTTGGACAGGTTCAGGGATTGGGTTTTTTCCCGGTCACGTTCGACTGGAGTCAAATCGCATACAACCTGAGTCCGATCCTCTACCCATTCAACGCACAAGTCAACACGATCCTCGGGTGGTTCATCTTCTTCGCCGTCCTCCCCCCGATCCTCTACTACACAAACACCTTCCAATCCGCATACCTCCCCATGTCCAGCGCGACGGTGTACGACAACACCGGAGCCGAATACGACGCGACGAGGATCATGCGCAACGGCGCCTTCGCACAAGATTTGTACGAAGCGTATTCACCGCCGTTTTTGCCTGTGACGTACGCGATCGCGTATTCGACCGGGTTTGCGGTCTTGGCTGCGGCTCCCGTGTACGTGTATCTGAATTACGGGTCGTTGATTTGGGGTGCGCTCAGGGGACGGGGGGGACTCGACGTTCATGCGAGGTTGATGGAGCGGTATCGGAGCGTGCCGAAGTGGTGGTATGCGGTTATCCTCCTCGCCGTGTATGGAGCGACGATTGGCACGATGGAGGGGTATTCGATCGGGTGGCCCGTGTGGGCGATTACGTTGGCGTTGGGCATGGTCGTGTTTTTCGTGTTGCCGATTGGTGTCGTGTATGCCATCACGAATCAAAACACGAATCAGATGACGGTGTTGGGACAGATTATCAGTGGGTACAGCTTGCCGGGCAGACCGATCGTGGCACTCACGTTCAAGTTTTATGCCTATACGGGGATCTCGCAGGCCATCTCTTTCTCACAGGATATGAAGTTGGGGATGTACATGAAGTTACCCAAGATTACGGTGTTTTGGGCGCAGTTGGTTGCGTGTGTTGTTGGTGCCCTCGTGCAAGTCGGGATTCTGATTTTCATGTTGGAAAATGTGGAGGGCATCTGTACGCTGGATCAAGCGGACGGTTTCACTTGTCCCCAGGGTCGGACGAATTATGCGGCATCGGTTATTTGGGGTGCGGTGGGTCCGCAGAGGCTGTATTCGCCTGGCAAGATTTACTCGGGGTTGATGCATATGTTTTGGATTGGTGCTCTCGCTCCCCTCATCACATGGCTACTCTTGAAGAAGTTTCCGACGAACAGGATCCTGAAGAACCTGAACTGGGTGGTCATATTCGGCGGCACGGGAAACTACCCGCCCGCAACCGGGGTAAACTATACCTCCTGGTTCGTCGTCGGTGCATTCTTCAACTATTATCTCAAACGCCGACGCTCCGCTTGGTGGCAAAAGTATGCGTATGTCACGAGTGCTGCGTTAGATGCCGGGTTAGCGATCGCGGGGATTGTCATCTTTTTCGCGTTGGGGTATTCGGGGGTTGGGGGGTTGGAGTGGTGGGGGAATAGCGTGTGGCAGGAGACGGCGGATGCGAGGGGGACGGCATGGTTGAGGATGCCGGAGAAGGGGTATTTTGGGCCGGATACGTGGAAGTAGGTGGCCATGGGCAAGGAGGGACGGGGAGTATCGATGGTGGGGGGTGGGGATGGGGGGTGGGTGGGGGGTGGGTGGGAAGGATACCGTGAGATACCTTAAATTCGAGTGTTTCTGATAATGTGATGCGATATACCCATAGTAACGTTTAATACGACGTCACCTACGGCGATGGGCTCTGATTTAACTTCTTGCCGTCACGAACGCTCCCAGCGGTTACATGGGCAGTGTGTGAACCGTGTAAAGGTGCGGCTGGCCGCGTGCGAGGTTACGGAGGGTCTCACGAAGATGGAAGTGCGGGAAGATGAGATGGTAGGAGGTATTCGTCGAAAACGCGTATAAGTACTATTCGTGTCCAGTACATCCGTAGGAGAAATCGAGTCGAACGCCGAGATATAAAGCATACTCTTCGTCCGTAGCGTACGCCAAGCTTCTTTACGATCTCCTTACCATCCATTCCATAACCACAATCACGCCAGCGATATGTTCCCACTAATCGGCGCGACGAACCTCTCCCAATCATTCCCCCTTCTCTCGGCATTGCGCCCCGCGGTCGTGCCAGTCTCATCCAGCTCCATATCCCTTGCTTTCCAGACTCTCTTTACGATACCGCGGGCGCGGGCGACGTTGGCGAGGGTGTGGCGTTCCATTTCGGCGAAGACTTTCAGGACGAAGCGACGGCCGCCTATGTCCGAAAGCCCGTCACTAATGGTTATTGATGAAGGCTTTGTGGGAGAGTAGAAGTCCTCGAGCGGGTCGAGCTCAACGGCCGCCACGAACACAGGCCATATTAACCCCGCGTAGGTTCCAAGTTCGATGAGGAGTTGCACGCCGGATAGGATCTCGTGGATATACGGTCGGATTTGCGGGGTAGATGGTGCGGCATCGCGGAGTGCACAATTGAGGAACACGACGGCTGCAAGACGTTTGAGCTTTGCTGCGAGGAGTAGGGTAGGGATTTCAGACGGGGCTGTGAATGTTGGAGGATGTTGGTGCAGGGTAGAGAGGCGCGATTCGAGGTCTTGGGTGCGACTGAGGAGAGGGTGTGCGATTGTGTTGGGCGTAGCGGAGGACTGGGTAATACCGTCAGTGGGACAAACGCAGAGTTTTGTTAGAGCGGCGCATACCTGAGCTTTCCACCTCGTCAACTCGGTGATCTCGCTTAAGATGCTGACTAGCTCACGAGAACATCCCATCCATGGATCAATCGTAGTCAGATCGTCAGCATTATCCACGCCAGGTTTTCGCCAGTGCTCCATCGTGAACAACGGGACTTCCCCGCACGCCGTACGCCCAATAACGTCCTGAAAGGCGAAGAACTTATGCGCAAAGTCGATGACCGGGTTCCCTTCCTCAACTACGACGGGGTCGTCAAAGTCAAGATTGGTGATCAGCGTTGACGAGGACCTTCTGCGTGCAGCAAGAAGTTGACGGCGAAGGGCGATGACTTGCTTGGCGCCGCGAAGATGAACTACCCATTTTTCGTCGCAGTCGCTAGCGATCTGTAAAAACCATTTGTCAGTCGCGTGAGATCTTACCATACTAGGGTCGTTGTACCTCGGATAGACACATCATCATCATCGTAACCAATGACTCACCCTCCACTACCGCTTGCTCACCGCCTTCGCTCAACCGTTTGCGTAAACCTGCCACTGCCAGTCCCTTGTGCTTCAATGCTTTCTCCTTCCAACCAGTGTTTCCGCCTTCGATCCTCGCCAGGTGCGACGCGGCTAAGCCTAACAAACTATGCATCATGTGACTTGATCCGCTGAAGAGGGCGAGCGGTATGATCAACGTCTGGAAGGGCGATGACGACGTAAGCGACGTAAGCGGGCACAGTGATGAGATGTAGTAGTTGAGTAGGTGGGAGTCGGTCTGAGAGAAGGTATGGTTAAACTGAATTGGGTGCAGGAGAGGCGAGAGAGCTGGTACGTTTTGGCCCTGAAGCAAAGGTGACAGTGGCGATGGGGAGAACTGGCCATCGCCGGAGACTGAAGGTAAAGAAAAGCCGGCGTGGGCAAGGAGTACGGGAAGAGCTGCGGGATCGAAAGCTCCCGTCATCCTCGAGGCCAATGATGCGATGCTGCCAAAGGTTGATCCGTTGTCGTCTTCATCGCAGACTATCGCACTGGAGATCTCGGTGAAGTCATGGACGGTGTTGTTGATAAAGTAGTAGTCGGCGTATCGTACACCTGTACCTCTCATCTCGCTGTCCGTAACTCTCGTCGGCACACGCACCCTTCTACCACTCTTACTCTTTGTCCAAACACCTTCCCGCCCAAAGGTCAAACCCTTCTCCACCATCTCCTCTTCCCATCTCAACTGCACTCTCAAGATCTTGCACTCCAGTTTCTTCGTCTGACATTGTAAGCAAATCGGCCGAGTTTCGTCGCATTTGACATGGCGATCGCGGCAGGTTTGGCAGCCATTGCGGGAGCGAGTCAAGGCGGGACCATCATTCTTGTTTCTTTTGCGAGGCATTGATCGTCTTCGAAGCTGCTGGTTTCTCAATCGATGTAACTGAAATGGAATATCAACTCATATGTGGCATTTGGCGGAGCTGAGGTTTGTCGCCTGATCTGAGCATATTGGGCGTTGCAGATGCGGGGGTCGCCGGTCCGCGCTTCACCGCTGCAAGGGGTTCAAATCGGCGCAACCTTATTCACAGCACCGTGGGATTTCAGGATATACTCTCGTCTTGGTGGGTATAGATGGTCATAAAACACCATGTCCGTGGTGAGATCTGCCGCAGGCTTCGTGACCAGTCTATGCCGTCCCTGGTTCTCTCATCGATTCAGACTAAGCCGCTCCCTCATCATTGTACTTCCATGGCCTCGTACTCCCTACGTAGTCACGTACGGTCATCGCTGCTGTTGTGCGCTGTTGCGCAAGAGCCTTAGTTGCACAAGTGCGTAAGTGACAAAATATCCGTTGCGCAACGTGTGCCATAGCACAAGACTGCATTATTGAACCTTTAAAATGCAGCTTACCCGAATATGCTTCTCTGATCACGATCCTTAGCCGAGGCGGAGTCGTCAATCGAGGTGGAATATTAGTCCTTATCCAACTTCTTCCGTCAGCTTAGACTATCTGTTCAGGACCTACCTTTGATAAAAATGCTGGCCATGCCACCCTTGTTGCGTTATGGTCTATGTGGTAAGTCTTCGGCCCTCGTCGATTCTTACCTCTCTCCTCTCTTCTCTTCCTCTTCCCCTCCACCTGGGTCTTACAGGTGCGTCAGACGTCTTCTCTCCTCTTTTCCAGCTCTCTGGTTCAGCTCGCGTCGTGGTCTTATGACCCCTCTTGGGGTTTCCTGCCAGGGTCATGCTCCCAGTTGCGTGTTGATCTTCATCGCGACTTTGCACTCATTCCCAAGGGACGTAGCTACTAATGGTCATGTCGTTAAACCTGATCATCTCGTTGCTACTGTTGATTTCTCTTCATTAACGTCTCAGGACATTTGATATCCACGCTTTGCCTCCATCGGTCTGACATGCTTGCTGGTGTACGTCAGAGCGGTAGCAATTCTCTTCCTCTTCTCTTCGATATGTCCAGTCGTAGATGCAATCCAGGATTATCGATACAGTTTGCTTCCCCACGACGTCTGTTCGTCACAACCGCGCACCGCCGGATTCGTCACGACGGCACACCAGGCACGGTGGGTTGCGTGTACCGCTCGCCAAGATGGATGCATGAGCAAGGCAAAGCTAGTTGAATAGAGAAGAGATCATTCACGTCCTTCATAAGTGTATGATGAGCGACAATGATTTTTCGAGAGCCAAAGACTCGCGCGGTTCATTGCCAGACCGAATCCGGCCCAACCGCAGGCTGCGCGAGGCTAAGAATCGTTAGCGTAGAACAGTTTTCTACAAAGATCGGACGAGCGCCCGGTTTGGTTTCTCTCCACAACCCAACACTTCCAGCTCCTTGGTGGTACCTTGGTACCACTGTGAGCAAGCACTACCGATGTTGCTTGGCCTTTGCTCATGGTCTGACTCTTGTCAGGCTATCGCGCAGATGGCTACTGCCAGCGTCGCTCAGTGTGGATCTACGATTGCTAACGGCCGTCTTTTCTGAGAGTGTAGCAAATTGTGTACTGAAATCCTCAGAGGTTTCGCGCAGAGGTTTACACTCCGTCGGATTGACTGAGCTGTCCCCCCTTGTGGTGGGTGCATATGGTATGGCACATGGTGGAGAGGTCCTCAGAGGTCTCCTGTCTGCGTTCATACCTAAAGCTTCCGCGTTACAAGTAGTGCTCTGCGAATTGCGTTTTGCATGTGTGTAGCACCTCATAAAAGCTCTTGCAGGATGGTGAAGGTTAGCGGTGGAGCCCTCAGTGGTTTGTGCCGTACAGCTATTGCCAGGGTGGAAAGAGGGCCTGTTCAGAGAGAGGACCTGTCACTTGGTGGCAGGGACGAGGCTGTTGCTCGTCGGCGGTTTAACCATCTCCGTCTATACGGAAAAGGCTGAGCTGTCGACTGGTTTCGGCATCGTTAAGGTAAGGTCACGGGTGCGTCGTACAGCTAGGTAGCACTGGCTTTCGGTACACATGCATAGGCATATGAACGGACAAAATCTTATAAACAACTTCATTGTATGCGCTCTTGTACAACTGCGGGCAAGTCCAGCACTCCTTGCACTTTGGGTGCTCATCGAGTCAATTGCAATACATAGGTATAGGTTGTGCAGGTAACTCCTCACCTTGCGATACACTGACGTCGAGTGGCCTACATGGAACTGTAATTACCTTGAATGGACTAGACTTGTACGTAACGGATTGACTATTCATGGACAGTCCTTTATCATCTACACACAAAAACAACATCGCATAGCATGTATGCGCGTACGCCAGCAGCTGGGTGAAAGAACGGCCACGGTAGCGATGCCGCCTAGAATTTACTTTAAAAGCCGCGATGTTTCCGATCGTCCGTTCAACTTATAATATACGAGATCCTCACATTCACAAGCAACCAACCCGCCCCATCCCTCCTCTCCTTTCCTCCCTCCCCGGATCCGGTGAACCCCAATCCGGTTACCACCTACAACTTCGCCTTCTCCGCAACACCCTCCTCAACCCTCTGCTTCACCGGAACATCGGCATACTTATCCCTCAAAACACGCTTCAAGATCTTCCCACTCGCACTCTTCGGGATTTCGTCCACGAAGATGACTCCACCCCTCAAATGCTTCGGCCGACTCTTCTTCTCTTCGACGTATTTGATGAGGGTGCGTTCGTGGTCAGAGGGAGTGGAGGAAGAGGCGGCCGAGGAAGTCAGTCGGATGAATGCGCGGGGAAGTTCACCGGCGTAATCGTCCGGGACACCAGTCACGGCACAATCCTCAACAAGTGGGTGCCCAAGCAACAAATCCTCCAACTCGGCCGGAGCGACAGCGACGCCTTTGACCTACACACCAAAAGATTAGCGATCTTATCAACGACGAGGTTGCGTATCTTTTCAGATGCACCTTGATCATGTCCTTAATCCGATCCCGAATGAACACCCATCCACCCTGACTACTTATCTCCGCCTGATCCCCGGTACGCATCCACCCATCAACCCAAGTCTCCCGATTGGCTTTCTCGTTGTTGAGGTATCCCATTACGACTTGTGGTCCCCTCACCCACAACTCGCCCGGCTGATCGTGACCTAATTCCTGTCCATCTTCAGAGATGATCTTGATAGATGTGTCGGGGCAGAGGTGCCCGACGGAGCCGTCAGCTGGGGTTGGGGGCAGTTGGTGCCAGGTTGGGACGGAGGTTACGCAGGAGGTTGTTTCTGTCATTCCGTCTACGCGGCTCCATCGTCAGCACTTGCAACGCGAGATGATGGGGAATGGAGAGTACGTACATCCTTGCCACAACCCAGCCTTCGGCCACCGTTTCCGGAAGATAGAGATGATCTCTTCACTCAACGGCGCCGCACCACTTTGGAAGCGTTTCACGAAGGAGAGGTCGTACCTGTTCACGATTGGGTCGCGAGCGAGACGGATCATGATCGCTATGAACGTGGTGTCAGTACTCCGTCTTCGACACGGAGGAGTGAGTGAGAGGAGAGGAAGAGGGGGAGCACGTACGCGGAACGAGCATAAGATTCGTGACTTTGTACTTCGTCACGATATCAAGGAAAGACTTCATCTCGAACGACGGCATCATAACCACGGGGAAGCTGTCCTGGACGGGAACATGCAACAACTGCACCAACCCCGTAACTACCATCAACAAATCAGCACACACCACGCATACCCCGCGGAAAGCAGTGACGACATACTATGAAAGAGGGGAAGACACCCGACCACACTCTCCCCCTCGACGGTCTTGTTCATGAATCGCATTTGACGGGATTGTCCGATTACGTTACCGTGGGATATCATCACGCCTTTCGGGAGACCGGTTGTGCCGGATGAGAAGGAAAGGAATCCGAGTTCTTTGTCGTTCGAGCTGTTTTTCGGGATGGTCCAAGGTCCGACGATCTTCCGTCCTTCACCTTTCTTAATGAGGCCCTCGACGGTGAGGTGACTCGTTCCCTCTCCACTCCCCTCGAGAAGGAAGATATGATCCTTGGCGACACCGGCAGCGGAAGCGGCTTCGAGCGCGACGGGGAGTGATTCGGGTGTGGTGAAGATGAACTTCGCACCGGCGGTTTTGAGCGCGTAGGTCATCTCACCCACCGTATACGCCGGACTCGCACCACTAATGACTCCACCAACCCTGAGCGTACTCCACAACGCAATCGGATACCACAACGTGTTTCTCCCAAACAAGCACGCGACGTCGCCTCTTCCCATACCGTAATCGGTGGCGAGGACGGTGGAGACAGTCTCGCAGTGGGAGCGGACTTGGTCGTAGGTGAGGGATTCGCCGGTCGTGCCGTCGATGAAGGAGGTTGTGGAGGTGGAGTGGGTGGGGCGGTGGCAGTAGGATGGATGGGTGGGATCGAAGAGGTAGTGCCAGATGCTCACGTCGCGGGGGACGCCGTCGGGGATCGTGTAGGGGCTGTCGAAAACGGGCATGGTGGATGGGGATGAGAGGACAGTAGTGATGTTGGGGAGTGAATCGGAGTCTTGATTAGTTACGGGATAAAGCATGAAGGATTACCGCAAGTCATATATACTATATATACCGGTACCGCGTCCGTCCCCACCGCGGCCGCGGCCGACGATGGCTGTCAGTCTCCTCATCGTACACGCGCATCGGCCCCGCCGCGGATACATGTCACCGGGGACTGCGCACATGTCCTTCTCATTTCGTTCGTGTTATTAGTGCGGGGTTAAAGGTGGGGATGTCGGGTGTGTCGGCTCATGCATGTTCCTGGATCCAGCTGCCCAGTCCTTGGGATCAGCGGTGCTATGAGTTTAGGCAAAGGGATTTATATTGATGGTATACTCAGGTAAATCTATCTCACACCACCTCCTCCCTCCCCTTGACATCCCGCTACCTCCTCTCATCACTCGTGTCATAACTCGAATCAACAGCCCCAAGCAACAACTTCACCAACCACATCTCCGGCGTCAACACAACTCCCCCTCCCGTACTCCTCGTCATTTGCTCCGCCTCCATCTCATAATTCGACGTGACATCAATCAACCCCCCGACCTCCCTATTCTCATCCAACTCCTGCAGAAACTGACGCGCCTTCAAATCCGACCCGACCTGCCCGAACATGAGAGATAGTGCGTCGGGACCGTAGCGGGTTCGGGCGAGGGTGGAGGAGGCGTGAGAGATTGTGGTGAAGATTGTTGTGTGGGGTTCGCCCTGGGGGGTTCCGTCTGTGATTGTGATGACGAGGATGGGTTTGCGGAGGGTGTTTGAGCGGGCTGGAGATAGAACGAACGGTTCGAGGACTTTGGCGTTGAGTTGAGTGCCGAGGGGTGTGAGACCTGTAAAGTTGATTTGAGACACGAGCTGCGTAGCCTGTTGCTCGCTCGTGATCCGGTCGCCGTGGACGTTCGAGTTGAAAAATCTCACAGAAATTCCATCATCATCGAATAAACTCGTGGCGAAAGCAACCCGCGACAAAATAAGCTTCAAATCATCAATCCGCTCTCCATTCTCCTCGAACGCCATACTCCCACTATCATCAACAAACAACACGACATCAAACAACGCCAACTTGCACAGATCCACACCCAGTTCTCTCGGAATTCTCCACTTGGCGATCAGCTCTGGTAAACGTCCGGCGGCGCGTGATGCAAGTTGGGAGAGTTGGTGGCCAGTCTGGGGAGAGGGGGGGTAGAATGCTTGGAGACGCTGGTCCTGGATGGTGTGTTCGAGGGTTGAGCGAATCGCGTTCACAAGAGCTGGATCACCTCCTCCTGGAGCACCACCGTAGCCTCCGGGTTGTTGGCCGTAGGGTTGAGGAGGGGCGCCGTATCCTGGCTGCTGGTGTTGCTGACCGTAGGGCGGCTGTTGCTGTTGGGTGTGAGGAGCACCGTATGATGGTTGCCCATACCCATGCTGCTGTTGTTGTCCGTACTGCTGCTGAGGTGGTTGGCCGTATCCACCCTGTTGACCACCCTGCTGTGCACCATAATACCCCGCCGCTGCTCCTCCAGCTGCAGGCTGCTGGGGCCTTGATCCGTAGTTTGGCGGAGGTGGTTGCTGTCCATACGGTGGCTGCTGAGGCTGCTGCTGTCCGTAGCCCTGCTGAGGAGCTCCGTAGGGCGATTGCTGCTGTGGCGGTTGTCCATAACCGGGAGCTGGAGCAGTGTTAACATGGACGTGGACCTGCTGCGCAGGTGGTTTCTGGGGGTTGAGAGCGTTCATACCTCCTTGGAGGAGTGCAAGTTTAGAGGCGAGTCCCATTTTGATTGATGGATCAAGTGGTTCTGAAAGTTTGATTGGGATCGCGGTTGTGGGGCCGGTGGACATATGTCCGCTCGTCAGCTGGGCCGTGCATGAAGGTGCAGGTAACACGTCATAGGGCCATGAGAACCATTGTCAGCAAGGCATTACATTCTGAAGAACTTCATTTCTTCCTTGGTGATTAAGCTCCAACTGCCTACAGCTGACTCCTCTGTGATGCGTCGCATCGACATTGCTACCCGTGGGAAACTTCCTGGGCAAACAACATGCGCGTCGAAAACGACAGACGTGAAACACTAATGGCGATGTCGTCTGAATATCTCAACATCGCAGGCGGCGATAACCCTTACGTGAGGCAGATCCACGGGCCGTCCGATCATGATCACGTGATCTGGTCGAATGTTTCGCCTACTCATTTTGAGGCCGGCTCCTGGCAATTTGCAGTTCGCTTCGTCGCTTGAAAGGGTGCTGAAATGATCTTGATTTTCGTTCTCTAATCGACTCATTTACGATGCCCGTCTCATCCGCACCACGCGCACATGTGCCGCTGCACCCACCTACGTAAACACTCGGTATTCTCCGCACTCCAGACGATCCCTCGGCTCCACTGACCAAAAAATGCGCGTAAACTCCATTCTTCTTATTGGATCGCCTCGCTCCTCCATTGCACCCTTCTTCCCCTCCATTACCTGATCACCGCGATTCCTCGACGACTTCGAACATATCAACATCATTCGACATGTCTCCAGTCGTCCAAGGCAAGGACATGAAGCACCCTCCAGCTTCCTCCATAGAGCCATCCCGTCCCGAGCCAGCCGAGAAAGACGTCCACCAATCCCGCGACTCCATCAAGGATATCTGGGGTGAGCGAAATGGCTACAACGCAAACGAAGGTATCGAATGGCCTGAACGCATCGACGAGCGCTGGACCGAGAAACCCGAGAAATGGGTCCAGTCCGCGTGCGTGTTGTGCTCGAACGGCTGTGGTATGGATATCGGCGTGAAAAGCAACAAGATCGTTGGTGTGAGGGGACGCGGGTGTGATCGTGTCAATAAAGGCCGGTTGGGACCGAAGGGCTTGCACGGCTGGATTGCGAATCACTCGAAGGATCGGTTACTTTACCCTCTCATTCGCAAGAACGGGAAGTTGGAGCGGAGTTCGTGGGAGGAGGCTATGAGTCTTATCGTCGAGAAGACAAAGGCGGTACAGAAGGAGTTGACCTCCCATGGTATCGGGTTCTATACTTCTGGACAGTTGTTCTTGGAGGAGTATTATACGCTTGCTGTCATTGGAAAGGCGGGGTTGGGGACGTTGCATATGTATGTTTGCATGACGGGGATATGTGATGGACTTGACAGTTGGGCTAATTCGGGACTGTAACAGGGATGGTAATACGCGACTTTGTACGGCGACTGCGGCGGCGGCTATGCGCGAGAACTTTGGTTCGGATGGACAACCGGGTTCGTACACGGATATCGATTACACCGACTGTGTCATGCTCGTCGGACACAACATGTCTTCAACCCAAACGTAACCCTCCTCCCTTTCCTTCTCCTCCTCGCTCTTGTGTATCTGGCTAACACGAACAACAGCGTCTTGTGGTCCCGAATCCTCGATCGTCTCGCCGGCCCCAACCCTCCGAAAATCATCGTAATCGACCCCCGCCTCTCCGAAACCGCCAAAAAGGCAACCGTCCACCTCGCCCCGCGCATCGGCACAAACCTCGCTCTCCTCAACGGCTTGCAAAGGGAGCTAATCGAGAATGGATGGGTCGATTGGGAGTGGGTCAATAAACATACGATTGGGATTGATGATGTGAGGAAGATTGTGGGGAAGTGGACGTTGGAGAGGACGAGCGAGGTTACGGGGGTGCCGGTTGAGAAGTTGAGGGAAGCGGCCAGGATTATTGGTAGGTCTAAGCGCGATACCTTGCTACCTTTCACGGTATTGACGAATCCTCTCGTACAGGTACTACGCCGAGGTTGTTGTCCACCGCTCTTCAGGGAGTGTATCAATCGAACCAAGCTACTGCCTCGGCATGTGCGATTAACAACATCAACCTCCTTCGTGGCATGATCGGTAAACCAGGTTGCGGAGTTTACCAAATGAACGGCCAACCCACCGCCCAAAACAACCGCGAAGCAGGCTGTGATGGAGAATATCCTGGTTTCCGTAACAACATGAACAAAGACCACATGCAAGACCTCGCCGATCACTGGAATATCGATCTCATTAAACTCCCGCATTGGAATCAGCCGACGCATATCATGGATATGTTGCATTTTATCGAGATGGGCCAGATGAAGATGTTTTGGATTTCGGGGACGAATCCGCTCGTGTCGTTGCCGGATTTGGAAAGGGTGAGGAAGTTGTTGACCAAACCCGACATGTTCGTTGTCGTGCAAGACTGTTTCATGACCGAGTCGGCACAAATCGCGGACGTCGTTTTGCCTGCTGCGATTTGGGCGGAGAAAACGGGATGTTTCACGAATGTCGATCGTACGGTGCATTTGTCGCATCAGGCTATTGATCCTCCGGGGGAGTGTAGGTCTGATTTCGATATTTGGTGTGATTATGCGAAGAGGATGGATTTTAGGGATAAGAATGGGGATAGGTTGGTGCATTGGAGCAAACCGGAAGAAGCGTTCGAGGCGTGGAAGAAGTGCACCAAAGGACGTCCGTGTGATTATACGGCTATGACGTATGAGAAGCTCACGGGTGGGAGCGGGATCCAGTGGCCGTGTAATGACGAGAACCCGGTTGGGACGGAGAGATTGTACACCGACGGCGTATTCCCCACCGATGTCGACCATGCGGAGAGTTGGGGCCATGATCTACAAACTGGGACACCGGTCAGTTTGAGTGAGTACAAGACGATGAACCCCGCCGGACGCGCGATTTTCAAGGGGTGTGAGTATCGTCCGCAGGAGGAGGTGCAGAACGAAGAGTACCCCTTCCGACTCAGCACGGGTAGGAACGTGTTTATGTTTCATACTCGCACCAAGACTGCGCGTGCGAGGCATTTGAGGGAGGCGGCGCCTGAGCCGTATATCCAGCTCAATGAGGAGGATGCGAAGGGGCTTGAGATCGAGGATGGGGATATGTGTCTCGTCACCTCTCGCCGTGGCGCGATTGAGTTGAAGGCGAATGTTGGCGACATGTCGAAGGGACAGGTGTTTGTCCCGTTTCATTATGGATACTGGGATTCGAGTGATGGGAGGAGTAGGGCGGCGAATGAGTTGACGGTCAACGAGTGGGATTTTGTGAGTAAGCAGCCGACGTTTAAGAGTGGTGCTGTACGCGTTGAAAAGTTCAAGGACAAGGAGGGTGAGGTGAAGATCCATGCTCGCGAGCGTCATTCGGCGGCGATCCATAAGGTGGAGAACAAAGAGGAGGAGCAGAAACGTCTGGAACAAGAGGATCGTGTGAGGCACTTGGAGGATTTCATTGGGTTGATGATTGAGACGAATATCACGTTGGTGGAGTTGTATGAGAGTTTGATTGAGAAGCATCAGACGGAGAAGGAGATACAGGCTGGGCTGAAGGTGTTGAGGGATTTCGCGAGAATGGATCTGGATTTGTTGCAGCCTGTTGTGGAGAAGTACGGTTGGAACGAGAAGGACGCTAAATCCGACTCTGACATCCTCCGCAAAACTCTCTTCCCACCGTCGCGTACCGGTTCCGGAGTGTTTGACGTCTTGATGGATATGCAGGGACTCTTCGTCTTCCTTGCGAACATGGAGGGAATCGTGACGGCGTTGGCACCGGCTGCGAGTGCGTTGTTGGATCAGGATTTCGTGGATGTGGTACAGCAATTGCAGCAGCATGTTCGGAGGCAGAGGAGTTGGGCTGCGGAGAAGTTGAAGGTGAAGGGGCCGCAGACGTTGATTGTGCCCGTGCCGCAGAGTGAGGGGCGTTTGTAAACGAGTTCAGAATGGGGATGGGTATGGGAGGGACGGAAGGATACGGCGGACCACGTGTACGATATGGAAGGATGGACATGATTTTGGGTTTCCGGTTTCGGGTGTCGGGTTTATTGGGGTATTTCCTACCGCACAAGCACATAAATTGTCCAGCACTTCAACCTCAATGCTACCATCGCGTACCTCAATTCATGCTGTCAGTCCGAACTCTAATCCTCGGAAATACCCTCCCGCTACCACCCTGGTATCTCCCATGACGCTGTGCACGTGCATTACGTAACGCAACCGTTCCAAGTCAATTCGACGGTGACGTCAACGCGCGACCAAGCCCACAACGGCAAGCCCAGCACCCTAACCAACGCGCACCGACTTAAATACCCCCGATTGCCCTCCCATCCTGCGACTCACCATCAATTCACTACACAACACAATCAACACAATGGAGTCTTCCCGTCTTCCTCTTTCTCACAACTTGAACTACTTCCCTGCTGTCAAGCCTTCGGCTTTGATCTTGGGTACTTTGTTCGAGCACGTTTCTTCTTTCATCGTCTACGGACCCCTTTTCGGACAGGTATGCTTGACGATCGTCGATTTCCATCTCGAACAGGTTGCTAACGTAGTTCTCACAGACATGGCAAAAAGCAATGTCCACGGACAAGAACTCCGAGTTCTGGGCCTCTAAGGAGACCAAGTCCGCCCTGACAATCTACTCCTCCTCCCTCGTCTCCTCCATCACCCAGACCTACGCCATCGCCGCTCTCATCAACCTCTCCGGTACCGTTACCTACAAGGGTGCCGCACAGCTCGGTGCCCTCATCTTCATGGCTCAGACTATCCCTCAAGTTGTTATGAGCGTTGTGCAGGAGAAGAGGCCTAGGGAGTTGACTTTGACCAGGGTTGTTACTGGATTGGTGCAGACTGTTGGTATGAGTTTGGTGTTGGTGGGTTACGGGACTAGGAGGGCTTTGGTTGGATCCGACTAAGCGTGGACAGTGGAGTGTATGATAGGATGACCGAACGATACCTACTTATGAATTCTACTCATCATTCTCAACAGCGTTGATCTTGTTCTTCCTCGTCTATGTCTTGATTGCTACTTTAATCGACTCGCGGGTGGCTGTGTCCAGTGGCTGTGCCCAATGTCCTTGGATGCGTACGAGTATCCAAACAAATCCGTTCGCCAACGGCAACTCGGACATCCTCAACTTCCTTAAGCTCAAGCAACTGCGATCGCTTTTCTGTCTCTACTTCGTTTCAAGTTGTCCTTCGTACCGATTCGTGCGAATCCGTACCTCATCACCCTTCACCATGAGTCACCGACTTCTGCCTGATGCACACGTCAAGATCTTCGAGAAGGCCTGGAACACAGCACTAACCAACCATGTTTTCCCCTCAGACGCTCCGCCTCTGTTCTGTGATTGGTTTCGATCTGTCCACGAATTTGCTGGCCCTCGGTACGCCTCGGGCATCGCCGAACCCTCAACATGGGACAAGTTGATCCATAACGCTGTTGACTACTGGCGATGTCGAGCATGCATGCTGGCGAAAGAGGGTGATACTGCGTATGCTACGATTATGACGAATGCTCTGGAGGCGAGGTTAGTCCGTTATGTCTGTCTGTATGCTGACATTGGACACGCAGCTGTTTGAGGACAATGCCGCATTTCGCCGTCGATCTCAATGCAAAGTGTACAAGCACGCCAAGCAGAATGCTGATTCGACCTCTCTCTGGCCGAGCACTGGGCCCAATATGACGGAAGGCACACTTGCGCTCTGTGAAGCTGCCAGCACGTCTTTCAAGGAACATGTCCTCTCAGATGTCCCTACCGCTTCTTCCTCCACAGCCTCGCCCGTTTTCCGTTCCTTCAACGACGACGGACAATTCAGCACATGGTCACAGAGCGGTGCACCAGCGCCACCCTTCCCGCTCACGCTCCCGCATGCTGAAGGTATTCCCTTGAAGCGTATTTCTGTCGTTCATCCCCTATCTCACCAACTGTACCCAGCAACGAACTCGTCTCCTCCTGCAGGATATCATGAGAGGCAATCGGTCAATGGTTGGGTGTTGGCTCTAAAGTAATTGACGCTGTCCTTGTCCCGAATCGATCTTCATTGTGCTGAGTCTGTTTCAGTGATATGTTCTCGTCTGTTCGCTGGTACCGCAGGACCCTGTCTCGAGGAGCGTATCGTGGGAAAGGTGATGTATTCACGTTTTAGCATGGCTTATCGGCCATCAATCATCGTCCGTGCCGTTGCTTGTGTGTCGGGATACCATGCTGACGAGGAAGGGGGCTGGAGTAGGCTTTTGTCGTGCGTTGCGGGGAGGTTGAAGTGCTTTTGTTGGTTTTCCATGGCTGCCGAGTATCGTGGTCTTTTCTCCGCGTTTCGAAGCGGTTTAATGTTAGTATTAATAAAGGAAATCTTAAGGAGAGATGTTGAAATCACTGTGTTATTGAAGCACCGACTTCTCTCTTTCTCACGGTGGACGGAGAACACGAACGTAACCCTTTCCTAGCGCAATATGCAGTTCAGAGTGTCAAGATTTGCGTTTGCTCCCGCTTCCTCTTTCTCACCACAACCATCACCCATCAACATCACGACAACAGCAAGATCTGAGGAAGGCGGCGGGAGAGAAGAGTGAAACGATGATATGAAGCATGGTGCCATGATCGATGAGCTACGTTCTGGAATGGGGCAGCTCGTGTCGGCCCATTTGCGAGTTTTATGTATGAACGGCAGCAACATTTCTGCCTAAGAATGACCGTTAGCAGAATGATAGAAGTCTGAAACTTTAGGGTTCTTTGTGCAATTTCGGATCTCATGATTTCACAGGTTGAATGACGTTGTCAACTCTCACCCCTGTTGATGCTCGACTGATGTTCATAAGAAAAACCATGTTCAACTTTGTCTTCTTCTCCTAGCTCAGTGGAATAATCATCTGCTTTATGATCCCTTTACCGTGTGTTTTCTCACGAAGGTAGTTTTTACTACCTCGCACTGTACTCCCCTTTCATTGAGATAACAGAAGAGTTCGACAAAAGTCTACTTCTGCATACATGGTAATTTATGTAGACGCTACATCTTGTTTAATGACAAACCTTCCCTCCTGCATTTGATTGTGCGAAGCACAGTTTCCGGTTTGGGACTCACTGCAGTTTGGCGCCGTTTGCCTCTGTTAGCGTCTTCGCCGGATTTATCCAGACAGATTTTCTCCTCTCAGTTTCTCCTCCAAACTAACACCGTCCACATCCGCATTACCCGCCCACTCGGGCGAGTCAAGAGATGGGAGTTGTGCCTTCGACTCTAGCTCGCGCACTGTGTTCCGGCTGACGATATGGCATACTTCTCGTGACTGGTTTTGTGTTTCTTAGCCCGTACTTCGAGTGGAAAAGCTTTGAGCCATTGATCTCACTGAGTATCTATCCTTGGGCTCCGTTCTAGGGACCTCATGCGCTTCCTCTCGAGTTGGGCTTTCTTGACGGTCACATACCCTGTGCTTGCGGGCTGCGTTCTTCGTTCGCGACGTTCTTCGTCGCAGCGGAGATGCGGGGGCCTCACTTTACGGATATGGACTGCAGTCTTGAGCACCACCCGCCGGGTGTTGCTACTCCGGAACGCATGGCCCTAGTGTTGCATGTCCGACGGCACTCTGTCAACTGTTTAGCCGAGGATCGAGTCTCGTCTCGGTGTGATTTCCCCCGGCTGATCATCTTCGTCTTTCGCCTCCTTTCCTTCACACATTGGGATCCCTCCTCACTCTTTCTGAAACTAACCCAAACCACGCCATCCAGTCTCAGCCTCGGAGTTCCCCATGTAAATAGCCCAGAGCCGGGTGGGCTGCCGGTGAAAAGAAGGATATCTTTTGAAGGTCCTGTCCATGTCCGTGTCCAGGAAACTTGGGTGGCCCAGGAGTTTCTCTCCCAAAATAGCCGCCCACTCAGTCCCCTCGTTTTCGCCGCTCACGTCCTCCCCTTGCACTCGCATCCTCACCGAAAGTCGCAACCTCTCGGCTAACCCTAACCCTCTAGTATGAATGGTATGATGTCAATGAGTATCTCATACTGCCCGCACTCGAAAATAGAGAGGTGATGAGTTTTACTGTTAAGCACACCGAGCACTCATCGCACAATTTCCCACTTACCGATGTACGACCCTCCGACACGCGAAAAGGTTGTTTCCGACCCCGACCCTGACCCCCATATTTGAATTATGAACGAACGCAATGCAACCGTTCACTTTCAAACTTGGTTATAGCATGCTGCAAGACCCAAAATGATTCGCCAGGAATAAGTTGCTGCTGCACGTCCTTACTGTTTAACCATAAGGTTAAGCACATATAGTGAGAGGCAGGAGACGATGCGTTAAGCCTTCGATCTAACATACGATGTCCAGGTGTGGTAGGACGCACCATAGTCATAGAAAAGGAGTAGCCCTGCTAGCCTCGTAACCTGGAAGTTTTATTTTCGCATGTTAACCACTTCCCACGCAGCCGGTCGACGAAACGCAAAATGCTGACGACGTACATTGACGAGAATCAAAATACATGGAACGTATCGCAAATTGCGCATGCACATATCTATAGGGTTGTAAAGTAACTGTGAGGCTTTATGGGGCTCGATACGGTCAGGGAACAGCGGTCATCACCTGCGCCCTCACTGGCCGGCCGGGGCAGCTGCATCTGACTGCAGGAGACAAGGTGAACCGGATCAACGTACAAAAAACACCATAACCACCAGCATGTCCTCCGGATTCAAGAAGTTCACAGTCCAGCCCAAGGGTATCTGGGCCCGTATTTCGAACTTCTTCTCCATCGACCCTAATCGTTCGACCGGTATCCCCCTCAACCCTACATATCGTGTCCCCGCACCCGGATCCCGGTCAGAACGTTTCCAGGAGCCTGTCACCGCTCCTGCCAGTGATATCGCCGAGAACCAATACTTTAACCGCGATGTGCGTCGTCAGTATCCTCGGTTGGCAGTGACGGACCAGTCTACCCTCGCCGGGTTGTTGACCCTTGGCTCTGCGGAGGCGCCTAGGACGGAGTTGATTGGTGAGAGTGGTGCCAAGGACTTGGTCGCTGCGCAGGAGAAGTGTTTGGCTGAGGTGGTTCAGGAGAGGGGTGCGGCTGTGTTGGAGAAGTACCAGGGTTTCGCGCCTTTGCCGGGGACTGGAAAGGGTGGACACCACTGGACTTTGAACAAGAGCGAGGGTTTCGACACTAACAGTATGTCCCATGGTTCCGGTTGGTCTTGGACTGTGATATGCTAACGTGTCTCTAGAATACCCTGTGCGGATGTTCAACTAAGTGGAGAGTGATGAAGGATGGGGAACGAGGATGACGATGAGAATGAGGGCTGGGGAAAAGTGGATGTGTACAATAACATACCTTGTACGAAGGAGGAGGGTAACGGACTAATCACATGAGCTTCAATGCATACACTTCAGCATTTACTACGCCATGCCTTTCTTCCCTTATCATCGTGGAAGATGCTGTGCACCATTGCCAACACACGCTGTTCGACATATCGCCAAATACCGCAGTCAACTTCAACCGACCTTGTAAAATCTCAGAAATCTTCCGGCCGCGTTTAGGCAAGACGTCTAGCTATGCGATCGAGGAAGCCCATATGTGAGTGGGCACTGCGGAATATGTCCCAGTGTGGTTGGCCACTCATAGCCAACTTCTCGTCATGCTCCGCCTGATTCGTCCACCGTATGCCGTATAGAGCTTCACTCTCACTCAATTCCTTTGCCATCCCTCTCGTCACCATCAATATCCCCTTCCTCCTCCCAAACCCTGCATGCCACCAACCTCACTCCTCCCCGTCACCTTATGATCCGCCGGATTCGCTGCAGCCTCGTATATCGCAATAACAGGTTCTTTCTTCATCTCCTTCCACTCCCCTCTAAAGCCCAAATACCACGCCCTGAGCACACCATCATCATCCTCATCTCCACCCTCAAAGATCAAACCCAGAGAGCGCAGGTTTGAGAACTTTGGTATTTTGACTGGGTATTCCATGATGTCTGAGGTGCCAAGGGCGAGGTCGAGGGATTGAGTGCGGGGGTGGGAGAGGGCGGAGGAGAAGTCGAGGTGGCAGGGTGGGTTTGCGAGGAGGTGAAGGGTTTTTGGGGCGGAGGCGTCAGCGGGGGTACGCAAAAGAACAGTCTTGAGCTTCACGAGGCCATCGAACCTATCAACAAGCGTCAGCATACGATATCTTAGTTGTTCTTGTAGGAGTACGAACGGAATAATCATAACAACACCCTCATCATCCTCACTCTCCAACACCTTCGTTGTATCCATCCGCTCATCCCATGGTCGGACAATCGCCCGGCCCATTGACTCCTCCGCCGCGGAGAATGTTTGGATGTGAGCGTGGTCAATATGAGGGTAAAGAGTTTCAGCTGCGGTTGTGGCATCTGGAGGTGGAGAGTGAGTGTGGGCTTCGCCGTGGCAGTGGCCGTGGTCGTCATCGTGTGAGTGACCGTGCTGGGACATTGTGAAATAGGCAGTGGTACGTTCAAAAGGCAAAATTCAAAATCTTCGTTGAGCAGCAATTGCTGGATCACTTCGCTTTCGTGGTGTTTGGAGGTTACCTATCGAATGCTGACTTGTGACCTGCAATGCAGGTGACGTCGAACATCTCGCAAACTCAACACCGTTAACATTCTGCCTATTTCGATTCTAAGGAAGCAGACGCAATAATGCTACGAGGAACTCGAGATTTCTCGACTCTTGACCTTCGAGACATTCCGATTCCCGCCCTTCATCGGCAATGTCCACCTGCCCGTCGGGTCATGCATCCATGAATGAAGTGGGCTGATCCCCGCCGGATGTCCCTAGAAAGATACGAGCTTATTTAGCCGCCATGACGGTTCTTAGTGAGCGATAGAGGCGTGAAAATCAGATGCTCTTGGACGATAAGGTCGGATTGATGGTGACTATGGAGGCGTTCCCCGGACACTTCCTCGATGTATGCCAGCTCTCGGAGGCAGGTATATAAAGGACGAGGAGCCTATGCGAGCCTCGTCTGCAAGGTCTACTTCCGGGCATTATGGAGGGCGTCACCTACGACACCGAAAAGAAGACCGTCCATGTCGGACCCGACATCGCCACCGGTGAAACCGAGATCCTCATCGACCCCGAAGCTGAACGCCGTCTTCTTCACAAACTGGACTTGCACATCATCCCCGTCATCATGATCACCTATCTCGTCGCCTTCCTCGACCGCTCGAATGTCGGGAATGCGAAAGTCGCCGGAATGGTGACGGATTTGAATCTCACAGGGTCCAAGTTCAATGTGTTGGCGAGTATTTTTTACGTTACCTATATCGGTTAGCAAAAGCAACCGGCACACTTACTGTGGACTGCTTGCTGATTGTCTAACAGCCTTCGAGATCCCAACATCCACCTACCTCAAGAAATTTGGCGCCTCGAAGCTCATACCTGCCATCGTGATCGCATGGTCCCTTGTCGCGACATTCTCAGCCTTCGTTCAGTCCTACGGCGGGATGATCGCCATTCGCCTCCTCCTCGGCGCATGCGAAGCAGGTTTATTCCCATGCTTCAACCTCTACCTCTCCTCTCTCTACAAACGCGACGAACAAGCCAAACGATTCTGCATGATCTTCGTAGCCCAAGCCCTCGCAGGTGCATTCGGAGGTTTGTACGTTCTGTTTCGTCATCAAATCACAAGGTGACTAACAGATGTACAGGTCTCCTCGCATACGGAATCCTAAAAATGGACGGAGTCGCTGGCTGGGCAGGTTGGCGCTGGCTATTCTGCATCGAAGGTCTTGCGTCACTGGTGGTTGGTGTGGCAGATATTTTCCTCCTCCCCGACTCAGCCGAATCGGCATACTTCCTCACACCCGCCGAAAAAGACCTCGTACGCCTCCGCGCCTTACAATCCGCCTCCTACCACGGCCCTTCCACTCCCGACATCGACTGGACACAAGTCAGGGCCGCGTTTCGGAGTCCCATGGTTTGGTTGAGTGGGTGGATCCAGATGTGTACAAACACCTGTCTCTACGGATTTTCGACGTTCTTACCAACGATCATCAACGGAATGGGATACACCTCCGTACAAGCCCAATACCTCACGATACCAATCTACCTCCTCGGTGCAATAATCTACTTCCTCACCGCTATCGGCGTGGACCGGACACAACGCCGCGCACCCTTCATGTTTTTCTGGGGGTTGTTTACGGTTGCTGGATACTGCACCCTCCTCTCCGCCACGAAACCCTCGATACTGTATTTCGCCTGTTTCCTGGTCGCGATGGGACTCTACGTGTTCGATGGCCTAAACATGCTCTGGCTCGCCGGAAACGTAGCACCACACTACAAACGCGCCGTCGCGATCGGGATGAATCAAACAATCGGAAACATCGGTGGCGTCATCGCTGGGCAGATCTATGTCGCGAGGGATAGCCCGTTGTATCGGATGGGACAGGGTGTCAGTTTGGCGGGAATATTGACGGGGTATGTTAGTGCTGTTGGCATGTTCTTCTTGTTGAGGAGGCTGAATAGGGGGAAGGATGTTAAAAGGGGGGAGATGGGGGGTGTGGAGGGAGAGGATGGGTTGGGTGATGCGTCGCCATGGTTTATCTACAAGACGTGACCATGCTCCGCCGCAAGCGTGACTGTAAGCTCGGTAACATTCGTTATCCATGTTACCGGGAGAGGCTGGAGCCCTCTTACGCTCCAACAGCTATACGTTTCCCCCACCATCTCGGAACCCATTCCCATTTTCCCTCACGCCTTGGAAGGAATCGTCGGTCGTGAACTGGTATAATTCTATTCCGTGATTAGCTATTTAGCATTATGGGTATCCCACACGCCTCAACTTTGTCCCTACACATCTCCCACGCCATACATCATGCTTCAATGGCTTTCTGTTGCTCCCCCCACTTCCTCCTAATCCACTCCCCAATCCTCTCATGCTCCTCCTGCTCCTTGACTCCCTCATTCCAAACCCTCCACCCCCAATCACCCAGCACTCCGGCCCCAATAATCGCCCCAGTCCACGTACAAGCCCTAAACCACCTCCAACAATCCTCTCGGGAGTCATAATCCACGTTTTTCAGGATACGGTAGAGATGCGCTGCTGCGCCCGCCGTCGCTAAATAAAACAACGGACCTTGGCCGTTGAGGTAGCCAGATAATGTGAGGAGTGAGATTTGAGCGGTGGATAGAGCGGCGAGAAACGCGGGTGTACGATCCCCGAAATACAACGCAGTCGACTTAATCCCAACAAGTGCGTCATCCCTCTTATCCTGATGCGCATAAATCGTATCATAAACCAACGTCCAACAAATCCCACTCGCATAAAGCGCTCCCCACACGCCCATATCCACCCCCGACAACCCACCATACATCGCCGCAGGACCGAGAAGTGCGCCCCAGTTGAATGCGAGGCCGAGGGTGATTTGGGGGAAGTTGGTGATGCGTTTCATGAAGGGGTAGGCGGTTATGATCGGGAGGGAGGCGAGACCGATGGGGATTGTGGCGACGGGGAGTTGTGCGAGGATTGCGGCGCCTGCAGCGAGTTGGAGTCCGAGGAATCCAAATGCCCCGGGGATGGTGACTGCGCCGCTGGGTAGTGGACGAGACCGAGTACGTTCCACGCCCCGATCCAAATCCCGATCCCAGAGATCATTTATCGTACACCCGGCCCCACGCATAATCACGGCTCCCGCCCCAAAGAGTCCTAACATTCCGAGTGTTTGGAGGGGGTCTGATTGAAGGGTGTACGCGGACATGGAGATGGACCAGAAGCAGGGCCAGTAGAGGAGGTAGGAGCCGATTGGTTTGTCGAGGCGGGCGAGGTGGGCGTAGGGTAATATTTTTTCAGGCAGGAGGAGGTTGAGCCAGGTTTGAGGAGGTTGAGGCGAGGTGGAGGGAGGGGGAGGAGTGGAGAGGGAAGTTATTGGAGGGATGCGGTGGGTGGATTGGAGGGGTGGTGCTGTTCGGAGGGAGCGTAGGTGGAGGAGGTTGAGGGAGTGTGGTCGTCGGCATGATAGCCGTGTCTGATGGAGCCGGCCAATCATGGCTGGAGAGAGCGAGCGAGGGTGGAGGGGTGTCGAGATGTCCAAGGAAATCTGGTGGTGGAATGGACTGCAGGCACCCGCACCGCGGATAATCTCGATGTCAGAATCGCATGTTTCGAATCAATCATCGTCGAACTCTTCATGTTCAACCGCACACCTTTCCCATGTGTTCATTTGTTGCCGAGGAGGTATGCGTTTTAACCGACGACCGTCCACATGTCCCGGCCCGCGTCCGTTGCAACGTTACACCCGCGCGCACAACGCCGGTCAGACCATCCTGGCACTATCTGGGGCGAACGTAAATGGCGACGAGCCGATTATCGTTGGTGACGCATGGTTTCCCGAGTTGATGTCAGCGTGGGTGGGGGAGAAGCAGGTTGGTATAAGGTGACGGTGGATCGCTATCGAGGAAGGAGGAGCTCGAGCAGCGCAAGCAGGAGCAGTCACGATGAGCGCAATCCCAATGACGACGACAACGACGACGGCAGCGGACGAGAAAGCCATCCACATCAAAGAAGAACCCGAGCACGGCATCGGGGAAGTTTACGACCACGACCCCGAATCCCTCAAATCCCCCACCTCCGGCGACGCAGACGAAGCCCTAGCGTACATCCGCAACACCGCCAAAGTCGAAATTGACGAAGCCACAAACAAACGTCTCCTCAAACTCATCGACCGCAATATCATGCCAATCATGTGTCTCATCTACTGTCTCCAATTCCTCGACAAGACCTCGATTTCGTATGCCTCTGTTATGGGCTTGAGGACCGATACGCATCTCGTTGGACAGCAGTACTCGTGGTTGGGGAGTGTCTTCTACCTGGGATATCTGGCATGGGAATACCCCACCAACCGCCTCATGCAACGCCTCCCCCTCGCCAAATACACCGGCGTCAACATCATTATCTGGGGTGGAATCCTCGCCGCCATGGCCGGTTGCAAAAATTTCGCGGGCCTCGTCTCTGTACGACTCCTCCTCGGTATCTTCGAGTCATCTATTACTCCCGCGTTCGTGTTATTTACGAGTATGTGGTACCGCTCTAGCGAACAAGCCCTTCGTGTCGGAATCTGGTTCTGCAATAACGGCACCGCACAAATCATCGGTTCGTTCCTCGCGTACGGAATCTCGAAGGGTGTCGAAAAGCACGGTTCCGCAATCCCTGGTTGGCAGATCATTTTCCTGGTTACCGGATTCGCTACGATGGCGGTTGGTGTGGCGTTGTTGTGGTTGATGCCGGATACGCCGATGCAGGCCAGGTTTTTGAGTGAGGAGGATAGGGTGTTGGTTATTGAGAGGTTGAGAGTGAATCAGCAGGGGGTTGGGAATAAGCATTTTAAGATGGAGCAGTTTAAGGAGGCGTTGAGGGATCCGAGGGTAAGTGGTCCTCCTTCCTCCTCTTACCGACACGAGTTGCTAACCGAGATGAACAGACTTGGTTGTACTTCTCGTACTCGCTCATCTCTGATATCCCGAATGGTGGTCTTACCAAGTATGTCTCGCTCTTCTTTTCTTGGCGACGAGTGTGCTAATAGACGCGCAGCTTCCAATCAATTGTAATCCAATCCCTCGGCTTCACCGCTCAGGAATCCCTCCTCTACTCAGCCCCCTGCGGCGCCGTCGAAATCATCTCCATCCTCTGGATCTGCTCCCTCGCGCAACGCACCCACGAACGTTCCTACTCCGCAATCCTCTCAGTCCTCTTCCCCATCTTCGGATTCTTGTTGGTGATTTGCTTGCCGGAGCATATGCCGTGGGGAAAATTGGCGGGGTATTGGTTGACGAGTTTTTCGGCTTGTGCGTTTGTGATTATTTTGGGGATGATTAGTACGAATGTTGCAGGGTATACGAAGAAGACGACTGTCAATGCTATCAACCTCATTGGGTATTGTGTTGGGAATCTCATCGGTCCTCAAACGTTCCGGGCGAAGGATGCGCCGGCTTATACCCCGGCGAAGGTTACGATTGTGGTGTGTTGGGGCGTGAGTTGTTTTGTTTTGTATGCAATTCGGTGGTTGAATGCGAGAGAGAATAAGAGGAGGGATGAGGAGAGGGAAGCGGCGGGGGATGCATATGTTAGTTTGAAGGATCATGAGTTCATGGATTTGACGGATTTCGAGAACAGGGATTTTAGGTATGTGCTTTGAGGGTTGAGTATGGGATCGAATCGTAAAGGGTGCGTTTTCGTGGGCTGTTTCTGGGTGGATATCTTTAGGGCTGAAAGTTACCTTGGTCAATACATTGCTATCGATACGTGTCGTCTGTGACCGAGCAGTCCCCTCCAACATGCTCTACGTAATTTTGAAGGGTATCTATACGTCCGTCTCAACCTACCCTCTCAGCTCCATATGTTGACTCTCGGTCCGATTCAGCAGTCAGGCGCGGGCTGGCAGGTGATCGATAGCGTGAGAAGATAATGTTACGCTTACGAGACGCAATTGATCAGTTATAAGATGCTCTGACTTTAGGTCCCATGTTTGCATTCAATCAAGTCCAGACTTTTCACGAAGAACTTTTGGAATACCGGTACGTGGGAGAATGTCGAGTTGGACGAGACCGACCCACCCGCCCAGAGGATACATGAATTGGCCATGATGCGACAAGATCAATTGCTGTTTCTTTATCTCAACAGGTTCTCATTGAGGTAAGTCGCCTCCCGTGTTGATGATCTTATCCGTCGTTATCCGTTCAGGCTGAATCGAAAAGGCGGGGCACCTTTGACGTCGATCGACTTCGGCGCAGTCCGCGCAATATCGCAATCGTTTGGGGACGAATTGACAGTATGACTCGTACAGAAACGAACACTTGAGAAGGATCAGATATTCATCAGGTCATGGACGACTCAAGGAAGGGATCAGACGAGTTAGCAGAGACGGAGCAGATGCTGGAGATGCCAAAGGATACGCTTTATCTCCGACAATCGCCCACGCCGAACGGGGTCACCGATGCAGACCACTCGCCATTACTCTTGCCTGAACCTTCAAGACCCAGTCTTTCCCGAGTTTCATCATACGGATCCACAATATCCAACCTCGACGCAACTGATCCTGAGGCTGCCGCCTCCGCGAAGACACCGGCCCGCGGTTTTAGAGGTTGGGTGAATGACAATACGGGAATTCTGATCATCGCACTCGCTCAGCTATTCTTTTCATGTATGAATATCAGTGCTAAGCTACTGAGTGGGTATGGAGTACCGGCACTGGAGATCGTGTTCGTCCGAATGAGGTTTGATCCAATATGTTTCGAAACCTATGACGAGAGTGAGCTGACCCGGAGTTCCGCAGTATAACATATGTACTTTCCATTGCGTACATGTGGCACAACGACATCCCGGACTTCATCCTCGGACCACCCGGCATCCGTCTCCTCCTCATCATCCGCGGCGCAATTGGCTTTTGGGGTTTGTTCGGAATATACTATTCCCTCCAATACCTTTCGCTGTCAGATGCCACCACGATCACCTTCATGGCTCCGATATTGGCGGGAATCTTGGCTTGGTGGTTTCTTGGTGAGCCGTATACGCGGGTCGAGGCATGCGGAGGACTTGTGAGTTTTCTTGGGGTGGTTTTGATTGCAAGGCCAGCGTCTCTGTTCTCACATACACAAGATGCTCCGGTATCTTCGCCTTCAAACGATCCAGGGGTCATTGGTTCTGAAGCTGTGTCGGAGGCCGATCAGACACACAGACTTTACGCCCTCGGCATCGCCCTACTCGGCGTACTCGGCGCAGCAGGTGCCTACACCGCGATCCGTGCAATCGGCAAACGCGCTCACCCCCTCATTTCCGTCTCGTACTTCGCCCTCTACTCCACTATTTTCTCCTGCATCCTTTCCCTCATCTTCCACACACCTTTCCACTTCCCTCTCAACCCCATCCCAATCATCCTTCTCCTCGTCATTGGCGTCTCGGGATTCGCTGCACAGTTTTTCTTGACGATGGGGCTGCAGAGGGAAAAAGCTGGTAGGGGAACGATGATGGTGTATCTGCAGTGTGTGATTGCGTTTTTGGGGGAGTGGGCTGTATGGGGACATGTTCCCGATATTTGGAGTTGGTTGGGTGCGACATTCGTCTTGGGAGGTGCCATTTGGGTTGCGATCACGAAGGCAAAGAAAGGAGAGGGCGAGAAGATGGAGGAGGCTAGGGATACTGAGGTCAGGATGCCGTTGCAAAGAGTGTTGAGTGAGGCTGGACCCAGTGCGAGTTTGGACAGGGTACGCTGAATGGACGCGGAGGACGATACGTATACCCTTATCATTTACCCCCGGTTACCATCTAGAGTTGGCCAGCATATTGCTTGAGAAATTCTTCTTCGTTACATTCGGATAGCTATTGATTGATGTCCAAACACTGGCCAATTGGATACATCGTCCCCAGATAGGTAAAGTGGACATCAGGCTCACCTCTCCGCGAGCTTCTCCGCTTCCTTCGCCACGGTTTCCTGCTCGCGCACACTCAGCAAGTCAGCAGACAGCTCTTCCGCTTCAGCAAGTAAATTCAATTGAATATGCCTCTCCGCCAACCTTTCCTTTACAATTCTTTGTCCCTCTGTATTCCCTAACAACTCATACACCCTCAGCAATCGCTCCAACTCATCTCTCTCTGGCACTGTGCTCGTGAAGTTGGAGCGCATCTGGCCACGCCTGAAGATTTCAAGGTGTGCCCGATGCGTCGGATAATGGGTAACACCATTACCATTCTCCCTCGCGACTATGCCTTCCGAGTAAAAGAATATTTCTCTTGGAAGATCGGGAATCTCGGGCGACGACTCCTGCGCCTGACCTTGACTCATAGTCGATCTTGAATCACCATTTGCGCCATTACCGAAAACAGGGCGAACATCACGTTGCGTATTCAACGGGGGTTGCATCTCGGCGGCTTCCGGACCTTGCGGGAGAAGGTCAAGTTCGGCGTCTGGAACTGTTTGTCTAGCACGCTTTGACGGTGGCCCTGGTGGCTCACTTTGCCCAATAAGTGCTTCCTCAACATCGTCCATCCTCCCCTTCCGAGACGGGGTTACAGTACTCTTCTTCTTGGGCCTCCCTCGGGGCTTAACTACCTTGAAGTAGTAGTTCCTGCTCCTTTGATCCCTGTACGCCCTTGTGTTGACAGATGTCCAGCCAGACAATGTGCCCGCCAGCGGGCTTGTTCCGGGCCGAGGCACATCTCCGAGCCGACGGTGCGAATTTTCCTCCCGCGGTTTTGCTAAACAGACCGCGCATTTGCAATCTCCGTAACATGCGGGGCATTCCCATCTTCCCCAAATACCCGCCAACACCAGAGAAGGGTCCATCTCCATGTTCCACATGAGAAAGGACATGCAGAATATCTTGTCACAACGCGCACAAGTAACCTGTTTGTTTGCATCCTCGTGAGTGTTCTTGCACGGGTGGCATCTCCTCGTGGTTTTCCGTGGATTTTCGAGATTCCTTGGGCGCTGGCCATTCTCTTCCTCGCATACCATCGCCATGGTTTTCCGCGAATGCAGCTGCTCATCCCAGGTTTCCACTCTTCGGTCTTCCTCTGACACGTTGTTGAATATCTGTCTGGCCCTCATCCACAATGCACACAACTTCTCCCAATCCCACTGTTCCATCCATTTTAGGCCGCTGATATGTGCGCAGCTCCTTCCTCGGGCGTAACATTCTATGCAAACGTCATATGGGTCTCCTTCGCAGTCGGTGCAGGTAAGAAAGCGATTCCATATGTCGCAGGAGCAGTACGAACAGCGTACCGAATAACGGAATTTTTCCTCGCATCTCTTGACCTGTGAAGTATCTGGGAGGTATTCTTCAGTAAGAACGTCGGTGAAAACGGGGAAGAGAGTTTGCAGATTCGTAATCTGTTGGACGCTCATATGAGGAGGGTCAAGGGTAAGGTTGTTGATCGTAGCGTGAAGGATTGATTTGATCTTGTATTCTTCAGCATGACAGACACTAGCTTCAAAATCAGTTAAGTGCCTCACGAACGGTGCATCACATCTACTTACGCTTTGTATGCAGGCAGAGCCGCCTTCACGGCACGGGTCAAACTATCAGCAGTAACCCTGTTCCAGCTAACTTTCACCGTGGCGGACCCGCGATTCCACACTTGATGCGCAGCCCAAGTCGGCACCAGCATCAAGTCTCCTTCCTTTTGCTCGCACATGTACACCTTGGCGTTTTCAGACAATTCGGCCCATTCATCGATCGTCGCCCAGTGCAGCTCAAGATCAATATCTGGAAACTTTTCCTTAACGGCGAGATGCGAGTGTGTCGACGTCATGAACCACAATGAAGAGGAGTTCGGGTCGGTATGGACCATGAGGTTATGCCCAACCGCGGCACACATGTCACGGTGTGCGGTTGTGTATGTGCCTTCATGACCGATGTAAAGCATTATGTTCTCAGCTTGTGCTGAGGGAGGTAGTTTCGACATGAAATCGTTCGAGCCCAGGTAGACAAGGCTGTCCGGCAAGAGTGAAGCAACACTATCTCGCCATTCGTCGGGGCACGTCAAATCTTTCGCGTATAACCGCCGCCGTGACGCATTGGATAAATCCGCATTTTCAGCAGCGAGTGTTGGTATCATGGAAAGGTAGTCTGACATAGACATGGTCTGATCGACTACGTTTTCACGGTCCATATCACGGATTGGTATTTCTGTGCGCGGAGATCAGCACGAGCTTTGAAGTAAAGGACAAATGACACAAACTCATATCCCCCAAGTTGTTCTTCAAATACTGCATACTAAGCATCTCCTTCGGAAAATCTTCGCGCAGGTGCCAGTTCTCGATAACGAGCGGCACCCCGGCGACAACGACAACATCATGGATCAACTGCTCCAACTCACGTTCGGGCTTGCGTGCGTCAACGCGCTTAACCCATCCAAACCCATCGTTATCAAGAACGACCTCGTCTACGTCGAAATCTGCGGGAATTTGGGCGGCTGATGACTCCGATGCCATAACAATTGAGCGCCAGGCGGTAAGAAAAAAAGGCGAGAATGGAACCAAGAAGGCTGCGCAGACGGAAAGGAAACACGGACGGGTATGCAGAAGACTGGTTTAATCGGATAGAAAGACTGATATGGTCGATATCCTTGGTTTACAAGTCCATCTTCTCTGTTCAGGACCGGCAATGAACGGCCCGTTCAACATATTAACTCAAGGCCAGCGCAGGCCGATGTACTTCGCCACACTGCGCCTCGAGCGGACGATAACCGACAACGCGTACAGGCGAGTCGATACGTGTTGCGAAACTCGCGATAGCTATACCTTTGTCGCCATCTCAAATCGTTCTTTTCTGTCTCTTTTTACGCGTTTGCGGTCATTCTGTATCCACGTACTCAGCGTACACTCTGCGGACTGAGTGAATGGCGGCACCTGTCTCTGACTCCTCGACCGCTCTCATCTCGAATGCGCTTGCATCGGATCTCGTTTACTGCGCAAAGTGCTTCTTGACGGCTGGGAATGGATCCAGCTTCTGGCTGACGAGCTGTGGTCATATTGTGTGTGAGCGGTGTTTGTTTCCGGAAGGAGGTGCGCGGACGTTGAACGGCGGATGAAGGGAGACTGAATGCTGATGGAGCCGTAGTGCCATTGGATGCAGCAAATCGAACGCACACATGTACTTATGATCGATGTCGCTCGGCGAACGTGAGCATAGCACCTCTCGATGAGCAGGTGTGTCACGTCGCGTATGACACGCATACACCCCCGCTGACCTTCAGTTTAGCTACCTCAAGATCTCATACCCTATTTTCGACCTCTACACGAGCTCATTGACGAGTTTACCGGCGCGGTCAAATTCCAGCATGGAAATATACTCCGACTAGTTGAGCATTATCGCGGGAAGATGGCTATGCAGAGGGATATATTGGGGAAGGTGAAGGATGAACTGGAGAAAGCACGGGATTACAAGAGTCAGATTGACACACTGCAAGCGGAGAACGAGAGGCTGCGAGGACAGTTGGCTTCTGGCACCGGGGGCGGGATGGTCCAGGAGTACGTTGGTGAAGCGGGGTATGAAACCGGACAGAAACGCAAGGCACCGGAGCAAAGGTATTGAAACCAAGAACTGCCGTGTTGATTGCATGTTGATGATTTGATACAGCGGCCGTAGCATGGGCGAAGCATTTCGCTCCTCAATCGCAAACATGCCTCAACCACCACCCCACCACCTCACTCCTCCCCACCCAACACCCCAATTCCGTCCACCTCAGCCAATCGCCCGCATATCACCTCAACACGCCATTCAAGCTCAACAACAAATACACAGACCACAGTCAACAAACCAGTTCGTCTCGCCGATGCGCCATCAAAATCAGCGACTAAGTCTGCGTCCCGGTACTACATCAAGTTCACCCCTCTCGAATGGAAGCGGAGGAAGAGGGGGTGTACCGCATTTCAAGAGACCTCCGATGCCGATGCAGCGTCCACCTGGCTCAGCAGCCCCTCACTCATCCTTCAATAATTACCAACAAGCATTCCACGCTCCTCGCTCCCTCGATCCTAGACCCAGCGAGCCAACTCGGGGAGGGGGCCAAGTCAGTCCTTTCTTCTCAGACAGTGGTATGGGCAATCCCACGCCAATGAGACATAGGATTGGCGTTAGTATGGGTGGCGGTGGTGGTGGTGGTGGTGGTGGGTTGAATAGGCCTAGTACCACGAGTTTGATCCGTGGAGGAACGGCTGGCGGTGTTGGTGTGAGAGGATTTGGCCGACCTGGTGGTGGAGGGCAAATAGCGGGTGGGGGTGGGTTTCTTGACGAGATAGGAAGGGCGGGTGGAGGTATGAGGATGCCGCTGGGGAGGGGGAGGTGAGTGGTGGGGTCTGACATGGTGGATGATTGAGTTACGTGAGGAATGTGGAGAGGGAGGATATATGCGTTTTTCGGGGTGAAGTTAAGATAGCCTATCGTTTGTATGATGTTGTTATTTGTCGGAAGGACTGGCGTTTGTTATTCTCAGATTGTATGATTAGAGTTGTATTGTGAATCTTCATACAGAAGAAATCGAGGTCCTCGCGGCATCTGCTGAGTGCGTGTGTGTAGGGTGCAAATCCAATGTTGCAGCATCACTCCCTCCAACGTTACTCCCGCAGATCGTTCACCACCCGCACGCAGTCGCAACAATCGCGGATACCTATCAACAAGCCGCAGCAACCGCTCTATGACCACCGACGGCACATAGATCATCCACTTGCAAGGGCGCCTCAGATGCCACGATCTTTGACCGAACACAACGCTCGAAAAGCATGCCGATTCGCCATAACCCATCTGTGCAATATGTCATTGTCATGTCGCAAGCCCGTCATCTTTTTCACACCGTCAAATCTGCCCATCTGGCCGAAAGAACTCCATCAACACCGCCTCATCCTTACACCCATCCTCAACAACCCTCGAAAGCTCCTCCCCATCCAACCACTTAATCACCGTCGGAATCGCAGTCAACCGAAACCTCTCATCCACCCTAAACCCATTATCCGCCGACTTCCAACTCGCTCGGTCGCCAACTGGACACTGGATGAGGACGGCGTGGAAGGTGGCTACGGTACGGTGAATGAGGGGGTCGGCGTCAGAGCAGTCTGAGCACCATGATTTGCCTGTTCGAGGGTCTTCGGAGCCTGCAAACGGTAATGGGTTAGCGACATCTCCACAGTGTAACCACGTAATGGGGAATTCGGACCAAACAAGTACATGTAAACAACCTGGCCTGCTGGCAAGGTAGAGAGATACTCTCCAAGTGCTTTCGCCATCACGTCAAGGCGTACAGAGCTCATTATGATCTTGAAGTTTTGTTCCCGGTACACTCGAGCTCATCGATACCGCTACCCCGCATTCCGAGCCCCTGGGGTATGGAAGACGTCATCCGGACCGTGAAGAACTGATCATCACTCAAAGAACAGAGTCAAACGCCTCGGCTATAGCTGTGAAGGCATATGGGTATATTATTATGCTGTAACGAAGGTATATGAACTATCCTGACCGCTTCCCAGAAGCTCACCAGTCCCGATCGCGATTGCGATCATCCGGATCCTCTCTCCACTTCCTCCAGCAAATTAAACCGATTAACAATACCAACAGATGAATGAATCTCATCTCTCGTGCAGCCTCCCGGATACGCAAACTCCATCGTTGTTCTCTTATGCCGAACACCAAACACCCGACACCCCATGATATTTATAACCAACTCCTCTTCCCCTGCCCGACTCACTTCGCGCCAATCAACCCGTCAACATACTCTCCTTTCAACTCCTCCTCCACAGCAGTGCGAGGCCGTTTCGGCAAGTCTGTGTTCAAGACGGCAAACCCGGCAGAAATAGCCCTCTTCCCGGCGGCCGGAGTCATGTCCACGGGAGTGCGATGGGCGAGACCATCCTTCTCACCATCTCCGAGAACACCCTCCCCCTCCTCCTCCTCGGACTTGACTCTCGTGTATCCGCTCTACTCCAAAACGCTCTTCAACTCCAGAACATTTGACGCCCCAATATTGAGACTTATCTTGGCCGAGGAGAGGGGTTGGGATTTCCTCCGTGTCCTTGTTGGCGGGAGTTTGCCCTGATGCGACTGGTGCGATGATTGCGGATGGCGCAGAGGGGACGGAGGGGGCGGATGGGGTCGGCGAAACAGCATCTTCGCAACGGTCCTCAGGTGTCTGCACTGCCGGGGCTGATGCTGAGGTTTCCGATACTGAGGGGAATGAACTTTCATTTTCAGGCGGTGCGGATGAGACGTTTGGACAGGGTGCTTGGCGACGGAGGATTGTCCGTGGGGGGAAGGGATGCCCTTCACCGCCGAGAGCCGCACATCAGAGGTCCTCGAGCCCATATTCGAGAGTGTCTGTATGCTCACATCATCAACCTGGATCTGTTCCAGAATACCTTCGCCATCGGCCTAAATGTCGTTGAAGACCAACGTTGGGTTAATCATTCTAAGCCACTGTTCATGGTAAAATATAATTGTTGTGTTATTAACGCGCCTCTGCGAGTTAAGAGTATCGAGCGCGTAAAGTATTTCGATATGTGTGCACCCATGGCTCTGAGCAAAGGTATCCAGATCGAAATCGAGGTGTTTTGCTTGTGGTGCCGCCACGCGGATGGCATGAACCTCCGGCGACGGGATTCCAAGGTACCGGTGTTCTCGGCCTAGCAAAATCCACGCGTGGTCCAGTCGTCCTTATTGAAAGGTCGGCCATCGGATGCCTTTCCTTCCGCCATTCCGGCGTTCATGGTGGCAGCCGCAGATGCTAACTGCAATGCAGATTTTGTCATAGTATCTGCTAAAGCATCAACATTTATCCCGATAAACAAATTGTTATCAATGTCAAGGACTTATCGGTGCTTCGTACAGGGTAGGGAGTTGGGTTTTTGCACAAACGCGGCTTCGGTAATTGGAAGCGTCGGGTGTATGCTGAATAGGTTGGTCGGATGTATCGTATATTTTCCGAGTGAATGCGGAAGGTAACGTTCGAACGTTAAGACTGAGGAAGAAGATTCACAGTATAGAGGTAATGGAACACAGACAAGAAATTGTTGTCGGTGTGATTGTTGTTGTGGTTGTTCGCGATCGGTGGTTCTCGTCGCACTGTAAGGTTGGGAGCCAGCGTCACTAGTGCCCAGGGCCACCGATACCCACGATACGTACGAGCTCGAGGGCAAAGATACGCTGGTTTATGTGTCGACAACTGAGTTACAGCAGCTGAGGAACATATAAGTAGGTAATCAGTAAAGATCGTAGTTGATTAATCATCTTCGTCTTTCACCTCCTTTCCTTCACCCCCATCCTTACCGAAAACCCAGACCTCTCGGCTTTCGGGTATGAACGGCATGAAGACGTATGAGCACTTCACACTGTGCGCACTCGGAAACAGAGAGACATTGGTATTGGACAGTATTCAAACGATGGGACGATTCGGATTCGAAGTTGTTTAGACTGATACATCAGTGATTATATCGCCCTGTCTGATCCAAGGATTATATCCTCCTCGCAGCCGTACTCCATCAACTAAACTCCATGACTGACTACATGTATATACCCAGCTGTGATGATGCTCAAATAAGTCCGAGCTTACGGGGGAAATCTTTTCTTCGACCCGCGTGAGCTTTGAACTTTGCTGTGCTCCCGCGCGTGTGTCCGGTACTTGGATTCTCCGTCGACTTGTCACCGTTTGAGCAGGGCTCCTCTTTTGGTCCTTCATCAATGGATATTATAGACTCAGGTTCGCCTTTTGATGTCAACGATTCCTCGATGCGTATTCTGCGAATTCTTCTCGGAGGAAGTTTGTAGGATGATAGGGAGACGAGATGAGGTCTGTGCCCCACCTTTCGACTATTCGGATGGTAACCTGATCTACCTCCAGCACCTCCACGACCTGATCATCAGACCCAATGCTCAGTTCGCGCGCCTCTTGTATCTGTCGAAACCACTGGTCGTGGATGGATACAAATTTCTTGCCGATCTTGTCCTTGGAAGAAGTGATGAGCGTGTCGGCACTCCAAAGAAGCTCAATGAACGACATGCGGGTATTGGGGCCTACTTCGGCGTATGCTCTTCGGCAGTTCTTATCTTGGGCGCAATGGTGCGGATCAGCAGTCAACCTACCGAAGATCAGACTCAGCGGTGCGATTGGTCGGAGCCGAGCTTTGTTTTGGTGATGGTGTCGATTGCGGCACGCGCTCTCACGAAGAAGGGCCGAAACCCACGCCCTGGTCTCAGTGACATATCAGCGAGGTGCCGCGCGGTTCAGGCAAGTCGTCGTCAACTGTTAAGACAAGGATTGATAGGAATTTCTTCGAATTTTGCCTGTGATCATCTCCATAAACCAGAGGTGTCATCGCAGTTCATCCTCGCACGAGGTTCTCATCCTGGTGGGAGTTGGTCCTTCGAGCTCGAGCTTCCGGATTGGGCGATGTTGTCAGCAGGGCTATAGCGCCCCGCTAGCATAAAACTTCTTTCTTACCATCGAGTGCCTCTCTCTTTCTGTTTCCACCCGGACACCTACCCACCGCCATCTTCGCGACTGTATGAATGCCTTAACAACTAGAACACAGGGAAGTACCCGTCAATCCTGCCACGCATGTAGTGCTATACATGGGTGCCCAGGGTCCCCGTAAAGTCCGAGTTGAGCCGCGCCGGTTCATATGACTTCAAGCAACCATAAAGAAGAATGAGCTCGTAACTCCCAAAGTTTGCAGGAAATGGCGTGAAGCAAATGATATGATATTAACACCAAACTACCAAACAATCAACGACAAAAACTACTACGAAGAACACAACCACGTTCATAACATTACTTAATCTTATACTGTTCTACCACCCCCAATCCTTCACGCCTTCATCCTCCTTAGGCGGCATCTCTTTGAGATCTTCACCAAGTCACAGCTCTTCATCCATACTTGCTGGCAGATCGGCAGGCTTGACCATACCAGGTACCGCCAACGCCCTCTCCCTATCCGCCAACTGTCTCGCTTGTAACTCGTTTTCGCGCTCATCGAGGTACAACTCGGATGTAGCCTCCTCCTCTCCCGCAAACTCCTTCAACGAGATCAAGAAATCACGCAAGCACTGCTTGAACTTGACAGGATCCTTGTTGAGTGCAAACAACCCAGTAGTAAACGACTGCATCTGAACGGGCTGAAGGTGGGGAAATGCGGTAGCGAGGAGGTTCATGACGTATCCCCTCAAGAACTCCACATTGCTCACGGTCTGGTTCTCGGATAGAGGAGCCTTAATCAAGTCATTCTCAACCAACTCGAACATCCTGGCCAAAATCGTCGATTGCAATCGGAATCCAGCCTTGTGCTCCAAATCGGTAAGAACGAAGAAAACATCCTGAAGAAGACTGACAAAGTACAACTGGAAGAACGCAGACGAGACTCCGGGGTCCATACCAGCAATGTTGTTAATGAGCTCAAGACAGATGTTGAGACCCGTCTCCTGCGCATCACGTCCAACATGCTTGAACGACCACACAATCGAGTCAATAAACAACTTAAACTGCGCCGGAGGCAAAGACACCAATGCCGGGAAACAGTGCAAGTTGATATCGCGGATCAAGTTGAAGAACGCGACACGATGCTCAGGGTACTCCGTGAAATCCCTGTTGATCATACTCAACGTAGGCTCAAACACCGCATCCAAGATCGGGGGGATCTTATCCATCATCAACGGACCGAGCTTAGCGACGATCGCATCAACGACCTTCAAGACCTCCGCATCACGCGCGTCAGGGACGTTACGCTGGTAATCACCAAGGGTAGTCTCCAAGAGCGGAGCAACGAGGTTGTCGTTCACCAAGTTTCCATCCTCGGTCTTTTCGACATAGGTCTCAACCAGCTTCAAAATCTCCTTCTTAATCGTCCTCAAACCCCTAACCCTCGGCGTCTTCGTCGCAACCGGTCCCTGCGCCGCAACAGTATCAGAGATAACACCACTCGTAGCTTTGTACAACCCCAATAAATCCAAATAAATCTTCGCGATCTGAGGATAGAAATAGTGTCCAACACTCGTACACGCGCTCACATTTGTCTTGAGAACATTCCCAATGATCTTGACAGTCCCCGGATCAGAAAGGACATCAACGTTCTGTCCAGCCTGCTGGATAACGGTATCCCAAGCCCCATTCGGCATCGCCATCAAATCCGAGATCAAACGCTCCTGAATATGTTTTTGAGGCTGCGCAGAAATCATATACCCACACGCCTCGTAGAAAGTATGAACCTGCTGCGGCTGCAAATCGTTCGTGATACGCGACAAATTGCGGACGATCTCGTCGATGAAGGGTTCGTGTTCGCCGGTTTGTTGTGCGACAAAGTGTCTGCGGCACTTTTGCGCGATCTTGATGAAGGTGTCACAAGCCATATCCTGGACACCCTCGTGAAGCTCGTGCATGAACTCAAACAACTTGTTGACGACAGTCTTCAGGAACTTCCAGTGCGCTTTCAAGAAACGTGGGTATTGGCCGACGATGTACATGATGTTGGAGGCAACGACGGCTTTGTTGTCTTTTCCGCGCTTCATCTCGCAGAGACCGAGGAGGTCCTTGATGACGGTGACCAAGAACCTCTTTTCGGTCTCCTCGTTCATCGCACCGGAGATGGATCCGATGGCCCAGCAAAGGGTGTTCAAGTTCGCCCAAGACCACTCCGATCCATCGACCTGGCGCTGCAACTTGTCGGACATAATAATCTCCGTGTCGAGGACGTCCAGATGGGTGAGATAAACCAAACACTCACGCATGGACTTGTAGAGGGTGATGGTATCAGACTCCTTGATGAACTCACGCACGATCTCTCCCTCGTCGTTCTCAACAATGAGGACCTCCTCAGGCTTAACCATTTTCTCAATCATAACGACACGCAAATTAGAGAGTACCTCATGATACGCATTCTTTCTCAAGTTCACATTCGCTACGGTACCGTTGTTGTACGCGCCACCCATCGAGAGGTTGAGGAGGGGATTGACGTCCGTTGCGGGCAGTGACTGCATCTCTTCGTAAAGAGTTTGGACGAGCTTAGACCAGTACTCCAGACAGATCTTGAAGATCTCGCGCTCGTCGACCTGGGAGATCTTGATGAGGTAGAAGTGTGCAGCGAGGAGCATATCCTTCGTATCAGGCGTCTCCAAGATCTCGAGGTGGGTACCGAGGAAAGTAGAGAGGAAGAGCGCGAGGTTCTGGATGAAATCCTGATCGTTCGAGGAAGCGTTCTCGTAGACGTCCTTGATGCTGGTGGCGATGGGTACCATTGCCTGAATGGAGGTCATGACCGACTTGAACATGACAACAAACTTCTCGTTGTACTGCGCTCCGACGGACAACCCACCGATCTCGGTCAAGCACTTGAGCGTGACATTGCGGAACTCGGGAACCTCCAGGAACCTGCCTCTCAAGTTCTCGATGATGTTGGTCTCGAAAATGTACCCCAATGGAATCCAGTTCAAGAACCTCAGCAACGTCTCCAAAGTCGCCTTGATCAAGGTTGCCTTCTGCGCCTTCTCCAGTACCTCCGAACACAACTGGAAGATCTCTGAGAACTCCCCGCATAGCTGGTTCTTCAAGTTCTTCGTCTTTGCCATCGTCATCTGCTCCGCCGAGTAATCAAAGACCTCTTCGGACAACAACTTGAGAATCGCCATGTTGTTCTCGCACAAACTCAAGTTGGTTCTCGAGGAGGCGACGACCTCCGGAATGAACGTTGGCCAATGCTTCGGCCACTCCTGTTTCAGAACCTGAACAAGCGTAAGGTTGAGCTTATTAAGATACGTCCTCTCCCTCGTCAACAACGAATCATCCGACGAACTCTTAATGATAACCCCAACAATAAAGTTCCTGATCCCCTGTCTCTGCTCAGGCGGCAAAATCTTCCAACGGGTCGAGATGAGCTTGTCCAAGACGGAGAGAGCGATATATTTGGTTTGGGGGTTTTGTGCGTGTTCGATGATCTGATCCACTTTGGTCCATGCGTCGGGATGTTCTTGGAATTGGGTAAGAATTTGTTGGGCTTGTGCTTGATCTTGGCCGGCGCCTTGGAAGAAGGTGGTGACGACGCGGTCGAGAAGGCCCATGTCGAGCTCTTGGTCGAAATTTAGAACGCCCTCCATGATTGCGGCACTTCCTTGCAGTTGTTTGTGGCGGAGACGAAGGCGAAGAGGGTATATGGATGGTATGGACTGGGGGTCTGGTCTTTGCTGGGTTCAATTGGCGTTCTTTGCGTTTTGTTTGGTGTGTAAGCGACAGTTGCTGAGCGCCCGGCAGCTTCAGCTTCAGCGTCGACGTCGGAGGATCATGAGCCACCTCAGCCTCGTGACAGCGATGACAAGTCGTACATTACGATTGCGCGGAAAACAACAAAGACAGTTCAGGAGCACAGTCCGACTTCTCCGGTCCGTCCATCCTCCCTCTCAACGTGAGCCCACCCCTCGGTAACATTGGTCGTTGGGCGCGCGTACTGGCCCACCCCGGGCAGATTCAGGGGGCCGTCCAGAGTGTAAACAAACTGATCCTAGTAACGCCTGCGCAGACGATCATCAAACAGAAGCCTCAAGGTGTATTCGATATCACATTCATTCTTTCTCCCACCATCGTCTTTCCTTTTTCCATCTCAGCAATTGTCATTCTTTTACAACAACAGCCAGCTTCACTTATCTGGTCAGTCGAGTTTGTCCGTTTTGCCCAACAGTCCGTCTTGTTTTGTTCTTTGATAAGGCTTCTTAAGGTGTGTCGTGTCGCTACGCAGTAATCTTTGAGCATTGCTAACAGACTTCACACAGTTATACTCTCTTTCACGATAGCACAATGTTTTCTCAGAACCACTATGGCCGTCGACGAGTAATCGCAACAACCTCCAATACCGCTGCCGCCGTCCCTTCATCATCCTCTTCAACCCACCCTCACCGCAAGCGAGACGAAGACCACCACACCTGGACCGACCCCGTCAACGACGTCTCCTACAAATACCGGTTCCTCCAAGGTAACCCAACCCTCGTCTCTCGCTCCGCCCCAGTCCTCGAATCCCGCAGTGACTCTTGCGGAAACGAATGTTCAGCCGAAGATGCCTCGAGTACGAATTTGGGGATTATCTTGGGTACGACTATTCCATTCTGTCTCGCGGCCATCGTTCTATACTTCTTGCACCGACGCCACATGAAGCGCGTACGAGCGGAAGAACTTGAAGATGCTCGGGACTCCCTCGACTACGGCTCCGAACTTCCTCTCCCTGCACCCCCTAAGCCACTCATCCCTTCCCGCTCCAGCACGCCGGTCTCATTCGCTTCCTCCCCTACCCTGAACGACAAAGCCTCCTCCGCAAGCCTCAACAGTGACGCCAAATCCAACTCCCGCCGTCATCGCGGACAGGAAAGTTTGGGTGCGAATACCTACCTCACCCCCAACATGCACCTCGGCGATTCCCAACTCACCCGTGAATCGATGTACTCCCTCGCACGCAGCATTCATTCCCAAGACGACGATAATCGGTACAGACTCTCTGCACTTAATTTACCGGCTATCGCGGACCCGAGTTATCATCCCCCGAATATGTATATGCACAGGAATGATTCGCAGCCGTCGTTGTCGAGTCCGTCGCTTGGTGCTGGGAGTTGGAATTCGCCACAGATTGGAGCGGGGTCGGATGGATTTGAGGAGAATGATCGTCAAGGGTTGTTGCACTCCCCCATCTCCTCCAACGACTCTGTTATCGGTCTGCCGACTTTGACGGCTCCGTCGAAGGCATTGCTTTCGCCGCAAGCGTTGGGTGAGGTCGTTCCGAATAGCGCATGGATGGAAAACCAATATTTCTCTTTCCGCCCTAGCAGTCCCAGCAAGAGTGCCATGGTAAGCCTCCAGAACCCTCGTTTGGAGATGCACGAGGTCCCGTTGACACCATCCATGGGCACTGTGCCCAAGATCGAGGTCGCTAGGGCGAGTGTTTATGATCCAGTTGATTACCCAAGGGATGAGGATGGTGATTACTCTTTTGAGCATGCTGATGAGGCTGTCCTTACCGATCAGCCCACCTCAGCCTTCTCTCCTGCCTCTGTCTCTGCTAAGAATGACGCCGAAGATGAGTTGTCGTTCGACGAAGGCGAGGAGAACCGCATTTCAATCCAAGCACTCGAACTGGTCAAACCCATGGCGGAGCAGAACAAGTTGTTGAGACATGAGAGCATGATGGAGGATCCGCAGGAGAAGGCAAAGAGGGTGCACAGTGTTTACAGGGAGTACTTTGATGACTCGAAGAGTATGAAGAGTCCACCTCTTCCTCCTATGCCGGCCCAGTACGCACAATACACAAACTCCCATCGTTCGTCCCCGAGGTCAACGCCGCGTACACAGAGTCCCGCACCCTCTGCCCCGCCCAAGGTGTTGGAGCCGTTACGAATGTTACCTACGCCGCATCAATTAACCCAGAGTGTCGAGGTTGATGGGAGTATTGGGTTTGCGGCGCCGAAGAGGGGTATGCCGTCCCCTAACCCCTCGCACGCATCAGCGACATCTTTGGCTTCTTCTTCTGAGAATCTGGCTCAGCAACGCGCGCATAACCCGCTCGCGAACTCGTATGCTAATCTCCGTTCGATCCCATCACCGCATCTCTTACGGAATTCGGCATCGTTCACTTCTCTCGATTTCGCGCCGCCCCAGAAGTGGGGTACCGGGGGTGAGGATGGTTACGGAAGTGATCGTGGTAGCGAAGTTGGGAGTGTGAGGAGTGAGAGGATGGAGAGGGGGTTGGTTGGGGTTAGGATGGGTGCTGGACGGGTATCGAGGTTGCCGGGGGATTTGGTTTTTGAGAAGGGGAAGATGGGGGATGTGTTGAGGCCTGATTGGGAGTTGAAGTAAGCGCACCGGAGGCGAGTGCGTGGAGAAGAATAGAGAAGGGAGAGAGAGACAGTTGGGAGGAGAATTTGTCTGGACATGTCACGAGAAGAACACTTATATTTCGCGAGAGAACGCCGAGCATGATACCGGTACTCTCCGCACCTACCACTTACTGTCGTTACCTGACTGATCTTTTTGCTTGCTTTGGAGTTGTTGGATGGTACACTATCGTATACTCGGGCGTTATTACACCTGACTATTTGCTAATCGAACCGATTTCTTTTTTATTGCAATTTGTGTCAACCTTGTAGTTAATGGGGTTGGGCCTCATTCTTGGTGAATGGGGCATGCTCTTCCTTCCTCTGTAGTCTGCCATTGCACACATGTGGACTCGACGACGTCGAGCCTGGCAAGTTCTTTGGGGCAATCACATTTGGCTTTTGCAAATTGCTTACGCCTCATCCTGTTTCTGTCGGCGAGGAGCACCTTGGGACGGCTTACCTCATCACTACGATGCCGTCTGATCCGTCGCCTCGGCCTCATTTCGAGCTCAGTTGCTTGCCTAATACCTAACATAACCGCGGAGCTCGAGACGAGCTCTTGCAATTTTCTCTACGACAGATAGACTTTCATTGGTAAGCGCTCTGGAAAATCGCTCTCGTCTGATCTTCAATTACGTGAGCATGTTGCGAAAACCTTATTCAAATTGCAGTTGCCGACGCATTCGAGCCTTTGAATCAAAGTCAGATGCGGTTGTCTTAGTATTGGCACGGCTGCGAAAGCATGGTATTCACCATGACCGGAATGGCGAGGTTATGAGCCTCGCTGGTTGGTCAATCTCGTTAACGTCCCCACTCTCGCTCCGTCAATTCAAGGTGTGGCAATAATGGCATCTTAGGTGTCCGGTAAAGCGTGCTGAACAGAGCAAAACCGTTGAGTCACGATTACTGGCCATACGTATAGACAGCCGTTTCCACACATTGCAATGACAGAGCGAGACGCAAGTACACGGTCTTCAGCAATCGCCGGCCGGCGCCGGACATCGATATCGCCCAATACACATATGCGTAGAACTGACGTGTGTGAAACTCTATCGAGATTACACATCTCCGCTTTTCCCATCCGAGTCCATCGCAACACGTGCAAGCTGCGCTGATCTCCTCTCCTCTCCTTAAGGTTCTGTCACATCGCAAACCTTCGTAAATTGCCAGCAGCGGTGCGCGGCCGCGGTGGCTGTGCGCCGAAGATCCCTCGACGCGTTAACGGAAAGCCGAACTGGTTGCTGGCGGCGCCGAGTATGACGGTGTACATTCAAGAGGCCAAGAGGCTGGGGTCTACTCGCTCCTCTTTCGTGCGATACCAGCCCTGTCCAGCTCGCTCTTCGGCTTCTCTCTTTCTCCCAATTTCGATAACATTACCCAATACGGCACTAGTGGCTGGCATTCCTACCGAAACTGCGCACTTTCGCTCCTCGCATGAAACCATCGCGAAATTGAAACGCTCAAAGGAAAACACAACGATGGCCAATGATCAATCTCTGACGAGACGGGGATGCATGGAGTACGCATAGCCGCCGGTTGAGGCTGGACGCCAGGCGGATCCGGGATGTTGGGGCTGGATTGAGGTGTGCTGGTTTGGGATGGGTAGGGTCGTATAAGAAGGAGGAGGGAACCCACCGAGGATGGAGGATCAGCAAGCAACCAACACCCTTCACGGCTCTTCAGCACTCTTTTTTGTTAAAGGCATACCGGCTGGTTTCGGTATCGTTAATTGATTAGCAACAACACAACACACCTCGGTTCACATCACATCTTCTTCGGCATCGTTCAACTTTTCTCATCTCGACTTATCTCACACCTTTTCACCAAAGTTCGATACCATACCAAAACGATGAAGTTCTCCATCATCTCTGCGGCCCTCGCCCTCGGCGCTTCCCTCGTCGCCGCTGCCCCCGTCCCCCAGGACGTCACCTACGTTACCACCACCGTCCAACCCGACCTGGTCTGGGTCACCGAGACAGTCTACGTTACCCGTACCCGCGGTGACGCCGACGCTACCGCCGCCGCAACGGCAGGCGTAACGACGATGGTCATCCCCGTCGTCACCACTTCTGCCAGCTTCACGTCCTTGGTGCCGAGCATTACGGTCGTTGATGTCCCGGCTGCCACGACTGTCGATGCGCCCTCCTCCTCTGTTGCGGAGACTAGCGCTGAGGAGACGTCCTTCGCGATTGCGACTACGGCTGCTGTGCAGTCACCTATCGAGGCCGCGATTGTCGCGACTCCCACTGCCGTCGCTGTTGAGTCCTCCTCCTCCGAGATCGCTCAGCCCACCACTACCGCCGCTCCCTCCACCACCGAAGCCCCCGCTGCTACTACCGAAGTCGCTTCCTCCACCTCCGAAGCCGCCGCCTCCTCTTCTTCTTCCACCTCCGGCTCAATCTCCGGCGAAGGAACCTTCTACACCCCCGGCCTCGGCGCCTGCGGCCAAACCTCCTCCTCAACCGACGCCATCGTCGCAATCTCCCACTCCCTCTTCGACTCCGCCTCAACCTCCTCCAACCCCAACGAGAACCCCATGTGTGGTAAGATGATTACGGCATTCTATGAAGGCAAGAGCGTGAGTGTGCAGGTTGTTGATAGGTGTGAAGGATGCGCGGAGGGAGATTTGGATTTTAGTCCGAGTGCGTTTGGGGAGTTGGCGGCGGAGAGTGCGGGGAGGATTGGGATTACGTGGGAGTGGCAGTAAACTTGACCCATCACAGACAAGATGCGGATGAAGACCGGCTAGACCGGTAGATGATACGCTACATGCAAACTTTCTCTTGGTTTATTTTTATTTTCTTCGGTATTTCTAGGATAGCTTTTGGGGTCGCGAGCAAGGACGGGTCTTTCGGATATTTGGATATTGTTACCCACGGCAGAAAGATGGGAACATCGCTACAAGAATACAGTAACCTACATTCTCTACACAAACCTCGTTCACTTGTTTTCTGACGCTCATCAGCTGACGTACCCCGTGAAGCTTGACAATAGTTCGGACGTTCATGAATGGGTATGCATGACATTGATGTGATAACCCGGAAGCGAAGCAAAGAACACCAGTAGTAAAGATGAAAACAGAAACCCAAATGAAAAAGAACACACGCTCTCTGAGACCAGCATGGAGAGCATTCACCCCACATACACATCGACACCCGTAGGAGCGGGTCGTTATGCCCGCTCAACGACCATACTTCTGCCACTCCCACTCCCTATTATCCAACGGACACACCTGTCTCGTCTTCAACCACCTCGAAATACAATGGAAATGGAACGCATGCTACCCAAACCCACGTTAGCCCCTGTTCATCTTCTCCTCCTACCTCTCGGCTAAAGCCTCGAGTTGACTCACATTACACACACCCCACGCGACAGTACACTCCTCACTCGCCGCCGAACTCTGATTCGCCTGACATTCGATACACAAATCCATGGTGTGGTTACGGCAGATTGCGCAGTTGTCGACGACGAGGTCCCAGCCCCATAGGGCGACGCATTGCCTGCTCAAAGTGTCAGCCCGATTGTCCCTGAATTCCTTCTCTGAATACGATTGTTAAGCGTACCACTAGGAGATGAGTTAGTAGGAGTTTTGGATGGAGGATAGGGGAGGGGCGGCAGAGGCGTACTTTCTTGACCTCGAACCTCTTCTTTGCGGGTTTCTTTGCCACCGCGGCCGCCGGGGCTTCGCCGCCCTCGACCTTGGGTGGTGTATCGACTTCCATTGCGTCGGCCATTTCCATACAATCTGTCTTCTTTCGTCTGTCTTTTGCTGGGGACGTAACGAGACGCCGATTGGGGGGACAGGCACGGAGCGTCATACACAACACTAAAGTTCTGAGAAGGAAACACGACACCAAAAGCAACAAGATGGACAAACAGCAACAGGCAAGGGAGACAATCGACGGTTTGTTTTTTGCTGTAGTTGGAGGACGGTTGCTGACGCGTGGACTGCAGTCCTGAACGAGATATCCCTACTGTTGAATACCGGACTCGACAAGAACACGTTGTCGCTGTGTGTGAGTCTATGTGAGAACGGCGTGAACCCAGAAGCACTTGCGGTATTGCAGCATTCGTCACATGATATATATGGGCTCTAATGCGTGATACAGGCTGTTATCCGCGAGCTGAGAAGTGAGAAGGAGATGTTGAAGGCATGAATGCGGACTCGACGCGGATGAAGAGACGCGACAACAAGAGAAGCCTGCGCCAACTGCTACGAGGCCGACTCTAAGATCAAGGAAGTTGCCGTGCACGTCACGAGCAGGTGGACTTGAAAGGAGACAGAACCCAAAGTGCATTCATACAATGCCGAAATGCTACATAGCGCCATGATACCTTTATACCCAAACACAAACACAAAACCATTGTCCATCCAAACCCGTTCCATTCAGAAACCCTCCATACGTGGTTTATTCCCCTTCCTCTTCTTCGTCTCTCTCCCTCCATGTCTCCCCGGCTCAACTTGTGTCATTGCGAGCTGTGATCGCGCAGGTGAATCCATCTGTGATTGTGTTCGTGGAATTACGGGGGAGGCGAACCCGGGTGGTGGTGCTGGGCGATTGAGAGCTGGTGAGGCGCCCAAACCAGGCATCGAACGTCCAGCAGCAGGTGATCCGAAACCAGGCATACTCCTACCAACAGCAGGTGATCCAAACCCTGGCATGCTCTGTCCCACAGCCTGACTCTGAGTCGCAGCGAATTTCCGTGCAGGCGACCTAAAACCCTGACTCGCCTGTAGTTTTCGGACAGCTTTGTTTTTCGCTGGCTGTTGGGAAGCCCCGGGGGCGAGTTGACTGCTGCTCGGCGCAACTTGGGAAGAAACGACGTTGAAGTTTGGTAGCTGGCTTTGTGTCGCAGGCGGCGGAGCCTCTTCCTGCGTCGTAAGATCCACCGTATCTTTCTTCTTCTCACCATCGTTGTGTTCAGACATCTTCCCCCACCCCCGTGCCAACCTCAGTGCATCCTCCCCCAACTCCACATTCCCCCGCATATTCGTAAACTGTCTCAATGCCCCCAACGGTCTCCACCGCTGTCTCTGACTCTTTTCGTACCTGTAGTCTTCACCGCGTGGTTTGACACCGATACTCGCCAACGCTACCTCTCCCGCAATCTTCCTCGCCTCGCGTTCCCGTCTTAACCTGAACCGTGGGTCTGTGACCGAGACAGGGAGGGGACGGACCCAGGCTTCTGTCATGCCCTTGTGGAGGGCTGCTGCAGACCATGGATCGAGTTCATCGTCCTCGTCGCTTTCTTCTGGGATTGGGTACCCGTATGTTCGGGTAGCGAGGGAGCGGATATCGATGCTTCCGGATTCTTCGAGAATGTGGACCATTGTCTCTAATTGTGCGCTCAGTGTCTCGGTCTCCAGCACGCCTGGCGTTTCGTGCACGAGTTCAAAGAGGGTCTTAATACCCGTATCGGCGTCGTCGCCCTCGGTGGCCTTCTTCGCGTTTTCCCTCGCTTGGTCAACCACCTCCCTCACCGCTCTCACCGCGTCTTCTGGACCACTCGTGTCTTTAAAGACTTTCTGATACACATTTCGGAAATCATACCGCCGCGTACTCTCCGTCCAGTACTCCAATCCATCATCACTCAACACGTCCCCCTCGACATCACTATCCTCATCATCCGCTAAATCCATGCCTTCATCATCTGAGTCGTCCTCCACGAATCGTGTTGATTTCGCGACTTTGAGACGGAGGCCTTGGCGTTGTCCGCGGACGGGGGGGACGGTATCGGGTTTGGTACAGACTAGTTGGGAGTGGATTGCGAGGTTAGCGGAGATGGAGAAGAAGACGAGGTATTGCCGCTCGTCGGGCATTTCGGTCTCGACTTGTTCGCGCGAGACGATGGGGGCTCGGATGGGTTGGAGGAAGAGGCGGGGGCTGGAGAGGGAGGATTTGAGGAGTTCGTAGGGGGCGTCGAGGCTGCGTGGTCGGCCGTCTTCGGACTCCGTAAAAAGGTAGTTCGTGACCAAAGGGTTCGCTTTGGAGTATATCCAGATAGTGTAGACCTCGTTAAGGTAGGAGACGGCCATGCTTAGTGACGGGTCTCCGTCGCGGTGGTGTTTCCACGAGAGAAGTGTCATTGCGGATCCCTCTTTGTCGATGTCGATCCAGATGAGGGAGGATGTGGTTACGATGAATTTGTGGTTTTTCTTTGTGGAGAGGGTGGAGGAGCTGATATCGAGGATTTTCTGGCCTTTTCTTTTCCGGTCTTTGGTTGGAATCTCGTAGACGACCTTTGGCGATGTGTCGTTTCCTGGAGGGATGCTGAACAGAGTACATGACCTTGATGAAGCAATAATGATGTCGTTTAGCGTGGATCCCCACACAATTTTCTTCCATCCGGTACCCTGCTCATTCTCCAGCTGTATTCGACCTACCTTTGTCTTCGTCATCTTATTCCAATTCCTTTCTATGTCGAACACAGCCCAACTTCCGGAAGTAGACGCGATAGCCAACTGTCTCTCATACCCCGGATTAAAACAAGCGTTGGCATGCTGCTCACCATCCGTATCTCGAGCCGTAATCTCCAACAAAGGCACGATGTTCAGAAAACTCGGATTCTTCGTATCCTGGGTTGCCGGATTATAAACCGCACGAAAGATCGTAGTCGTCGCATGACATCGTACTGCCAAGTAAGGAGGCGCCTCATTATACTCCACTCCATCACCAGCAAAGACAATCTGTCTAATAGGCGACGTGAAGCGATACACCGGCATCATATCATTCGCTACCGTCGGCATGAGAAGCGACAGCCCCGACCTCTCCACCTCCTTCTCAAACACATGCGGAACCTCCGCCAGAGCCGCCAAATTCAAATCACACCGTGCCGGACCCGTCGCATATGCCACACACGTCTTGTACCGATTTATACCCTTTACATGCCGTGCACGTCCAAGCGCAAATAGCTCTCCGGCCAGCGGATCGTATTGTGATTGGACGGCTTGGATGATATTTGATTGTGCGAGGTCGTCGTCGATGGTTTCTGGGGGTGCCCAGAGGCCTTTTTGGTTCTTTCGAAGGTATTTATGGGAGGTTTTGATGATGCCGCGGTTTAGGGGGGGGTAGTCGTCGTGTTCTCGAGTGGCAGGGATCATCGTGTTTGGCTCGCCAACGGTGTGATATCGTACGCCTGTACTTGGTGTGTTAGTCCCCCTAAAGCATAGACACCGCTCACGTCCAAGTACCTTGGTTCCTCTCACTCGCAAACTGCCACTCATGAGTCCACGTTACTTGCGGCCCATGATCTTCTTGCTCGACCACCTCCTCCCTCCACTCCGCAATCGTCGCCGCCCCAACATTTCCCCAATCCAATGTTAGCCCTTCATCGCCTTTGCGCACGGGCCATGGATCATCCATCAATCACCTATCGTCCTGGCGGCATACGTCGGAGTCGGAGTCGCTGTTTACCTCTGCATTTTCGCGTCCCTGTCACGTTGAACTTCCAAATTCGGTGAAATTCAACGCACGACGACATCCATCAACGGAAAAAAAAAAGTCAAGATGTTATCGACCTCGAGAACAACGGCTGCTGTGCGTTTTCTGGCCTCCAGACCGCCGAGCTTCATCTTCCGCAGTGCACTCGCACGTATGTCTACTGTTGCTACGCCTACGAGCACCCCACCACCTCCTCCGCAAGCAAGGAGACCTGTGACGGTCGACCGGCCCCTTCCCGAAGTGAATACCGGCCGTGGAAAGAAGACCGCAGCGTTCGGTATCGCCGTCGTAATCTGGACAATCGCAGCCGCCCTTGCTTTCAACCACGAGAGAATGCTTTCACCTATCGTTCCCTCAACCCTCCACTCCCTGCGACGATCCGCCGGCGCTCAAAAGTTAATAGGCGACAAGATTGACTACTACGACAATTGGCCATGGATCTCGGGCAAGATCAACCAGGGCCAGGGTATCGTGGATATCGAGTATGACGTCAAGGGAAGCAAGCAGGGTGGACGTATGCACTTCAAGAGTATCAGGAGAACTAAGAACGGCCAGTGGGAGTTGAATGTGTGGACTTTGAGAGCAGATTCTGGTGAGATTTTGAACTTGGCGTATGAGTTGGAGAATCCGCAAGATTCTCTGCAGCGTGACAAAGAAGCTATGAGCATTCTTGAAGCTTAAGGTTGAGCATACACCGGTGGGGTGTAAGATATGAGTGGTAAGAGAACAGGCATAGAAAGGGAGGGGAAGGGGAGGATGCAGGTATGAAAGACTCACTGCAAGCATAGTCAAGGTCCAAGGGAATTCAATATATATGCATCCCTGCGCAAGAACAAAAACAGCCTGACATACTCCCATCCCCCACCCATACTCATAGAATTAATGTCACAAAAAAGAGCGTATACAAAGAACGTCCTAACCCTGCCAAACGATCGTAACCAATATCGTATGCAAAACGAAATCCTCAAAATATCCTCGACCACTAGATATTATTTTACCTTCGCCACGGTGCTGACACTTCGACAACAAGGACAAGCACGCTTAGAAATTCGTCGAAATCCCACCAGGCCCGCCCGTCCCCCTCCTAGGGGGCGGCCCATACCCACCCCTCGCCCCAGTACCAGACGGCACAGCTCTCCCCCTCCCTCTCTGAACGTGTTGTGCCGCGGACGGGGGATACCCACGCGCCTGCTGCATCGCCAACCCAGTCATACCACCACCCAATGCCGCAGCCGGCCCAACGCCGGGGACAGAGGGCCGAAGGGGCGGCACGTATTGTTCGGGTTCGTGTGCGTATGGGGCGTTGTAGCTCCCAGAGCCGGTGCCGGTGGGTGTAGACATCTCCGATGGATGACGCGAGTGCGACTGTGAGGACCCAGATCCAGACTCTGAAGACTGAGAATCATACCTCCCCATCCCCACATCCGGGTTCGTAACTGCCAACCCACCACCGATGCCTGCAGCACCAACCGCAGCAGGACCAAGATGATCAAGAGGCGGAGACCCACGTCCAGGTTGGAGACTCCCACCGGACGTCGAAATGGGACTTCCAGGCGTGTTGTCGAAGGAGGTTTGGGAGTAGCGCTTGGCGTGTTTGGGTGGGATTATGGGTGGTGCTGTGCCCGCTCCCATTGCTGCTCCTGCACCGAATGCAGCACCCGCACCGGCGGCAGTGAATGGAGCCTCATCTCCATACGCACCACCGAGACCAACACCCGGGTCGTGACGAACACTGACCGGTGAGCTGGGTGTAGTCCCAGTCAACGTCGTCCCAGGACTCGGCGCACCAACCGACCCATGACCCGCACCCACCGCCGCCAATCCAGCACCAGCTCCAATACCAGCTGCTCCAGCACCAACCCCAGCACCAGTAGCCATATTTAACAACGCACTCGTTGGCGGCGTCTTCCTCGCCGTCCGTCCCCACCCCCTATACCCCCCAACATCCTCTTTCTCACTCGCACTTGCAGCGGCCAACGCACCCGCTCCCACCGCCAGCGCTCCCGCACCCACACCCGCAGCAACCCCACCTCCGTTGGTAGAGGAGGGGTTATTGGCGTTAGGGTTATACCCATAATCCTCAACCTCCTCCTTCCGCGCCTCCATTGCATCCCTCTCCCTCTTCCTCCTCCTCCACCACCAAAGACCCAACACTACTAATCCTGCGATAACCGCGACAGGTATCACGACCGCAATGGCCACCGTCCCGCCGGTACTCAACCCAGATTCGGAAGAGGAACTGCGGGAGGTACCACTGGCTGCGGTTGCGGAGGCGGCGGCGGAGGTGGGGGTGGAGGTTGAGGCGGAGGTTGTGGTTAGGACTGTGGGTGCGTTATAGGACGTTGAGGTCACTGTAACAACCACAGGCCCCACACTCGTGGATGTTGTGACGGAACCATCTGACTGTGTTGATTCGACCGCTTGCGTGGTCGAGGTGACTGTTGACAATACCGTCGTCTCGGCCGTGGAGGAGGTCGTCGTGATTGGGACTGAGGATACTACGGGGGCGGTAGAGGAGGAGGAGGAGGAGGAGGAGGAGGAGGAGGAGGAGGAGGAGGAGGAGGAGGAGGAGGAGGAGGAGGAGGAGGAGGAGGAGGAGGAGGAGGAGGAGG